TAAAAATACTTAACTACATTCATGTACAACAGGTTCACGGCAGAAACTCGAGTGGGACAGAAGTACCCAAACAAACGAAATCACAAAGAGTATACTGAGCACAGGATACGCTATGTGATGGACCATGGTTACCTTTTAGCATCAGGCAAGCCGTCAACTTTGTTGCCATTGTAAAAGTCGCATAAAAAAGGAAGGATAGCAAAGTATTTAGCAAAGAATCGCTCTCGCCACCTCCCAATATCTGAATACCATAAAATGCTCGTCATCACTGACTTATAATTTATTTGGCTCTTAACTTTACTACATATAAAGTTTATATTCTTCTGTCAATAACATGTGCATGACAAAAGCAATGCTAGCAGTAGGTCGATATTTTTATAACGGTACTTGTAAATTTAATTTATTGAAATGTGTTTAAAATTAATTTTTTAAATTACTTTATTTTAAATATTTACTTTAGCAGTTTTTTCGTCACCTCTATGGTATTCACATACTATATGGTATGATAGATATAGGCTAATTATTGTTCAATCAGTACAGTACAGTTCAGTTAAAAAATAATAACTTAGAAAGGACGTATTTATTTACTCCCGTTTACCTGTCTATAAAAAACGTTAAAGCACCAAGAAATAACAGACAAATTACTTTCATAGTTTTTAATTTTTCAACCGCCTTCACAATGAAGGAAGTTCTCAAATACATTTTTTTTATATTTGTTACCTCATAACTCCGTCTGTTGTAAACCGATTACGGATTGGTACCATATAAATTTTATTATAGTTGATTCAAAATAGATTACTTTTAAATCAAAATAACTGGTTTTGCTACAACTGAAGAATTTTTTGTGGAATATAATTAATTGATTAATAAATGCAATAACAAACAAGCCTACGACCCGCCTGATGGAAGGCGGTAACTACCGCCATAGATAAGAACAGCACCATAGGCGTTACAAAATGATCTGTAACATCCAGGACAGCTTTCATACATTGCCATTCTACAAGGCTATAACGTAATGCCTCCGTAATCTCAAATTTTACTGTATGTCTGCAAAGATTCTAAATTCTATTTCAGTACTACCTATTTATAATGGAGGAGGTTATGTTAAATAGTGGACAGTGAATGACTGATACAACTACCTTTTTAAATCTAAACTAATATTTATAATTAAAAGAGGAAAGATTTGTATTTTTGTGTGTATATATGTTTGTAATGAATAAACTCAAAAACTACTTTGCCGATTTCAAAAATTCTTTCACCATTAGAAAACTACATTCACCCTGAGTAACATAGGCTATATTAATTGCTAGAAAAGATTGGGGATCCTTACTAAAACTTTAGTAACGTAACTCAAGGTGTACAAAAATGCTATAAAATATCTTTCGTCGCGAACGCTGCGGAAACTATTGGTGATAGAACAATAGTGTGTTCTACAATATTGAAGAAAATATCAATATCTACAAAAAACTTCCTGATACTATATGTCCAACTATTATCGTGATGTCACAATAACCACTTTTTAAAATGTTGTAAAAATGTCCACCCGTGCCAAACCGGGACGGGCCTCTTGTATAAGATATATTAGAAAGCTCTCAAGTGCATGCCGAGTCGGACTACTGTTAATAACACTGAGCCGGGATTGTCAGGCATCAACTTTCGCTTTTGTCTCTCGGCTCATGGTGTCGGATTCCATCACTTGTTTTTCTCGTATCTCGCCGTGGATCTGCCTCGTGATGGGATGGTACACACGCCTCTGTTATGATTGTCATTATGTTGGTACACCGGTATTACTTGAATTATACTTATGCATCGTCATTTGTAATCTCTTCTGAGCACACACTGATAGAATTTGATCATATTTCCGTGTACTTCGTTTGTTAACTACATACATACATATACATCATATTTCGTCGCCTGCTAGCGACTGCTTTCAACATAATAATTATTGTGATGAATTATTTATATTGTATGTTTAATTAATTAATGAAATATATTATTTGTGCATCATTTATGTATGTATGTATCTATGTTATCTATTTTCCAGAGGGAGACTTTGTACAAAAGACGATTGCTTGGGTACCTCTGTCCCATTCGTGTTTCAACCGTGAAGCAGTTGTGTTTGCATGACTGTGTTTCGGTTTGAAGGGTGGGATATGGCGTGAATTTACTGGGTACAGAGGAATAACACCTGAGTCCTCAGGAATGGCAACGCATGAGGGGTATCATGGGCGAAACAGCATACTCTGTTATGTCCATGGTACTGCTCATATCTATAGGCGACGGTTACCACTTTCCATCAGGTGGGCCGTTAGCTTGTTTGCCATTCTAAGTTGTATAAAACAAAAGGCGACTAAGGGAGGACGAGGGATGGGCAGCAACGTCCCTCTTAAAACATCTCTAAAGCCTAACTGCGGTTGCCAACCCGCCTGCCAAGCATGGCGACTACTGGCAAAATCTAAGGGGGAGGCTTATGTTCAGCGGTGGACAGTTAGAGGCTGATATGATGATGATCAGGACACATTAAAATTGAAAAAAAACTCCTACTTTTGAAGAAATAAACTTTAAGTTTTGATCAATCCTGATGAGGAATCTCGAGGAACTACTCGATTTATTAAATTGATTTTATAATAAATAAAAAACGTTGTCCTGTTATACGAATATTGTTAATGAGAATTTAACTTTTTTTATTATTTTTTTAGTCACCATGGCAACGCGTGCCTTTCTCAGTTGCCAGTATTATTATCTACTTATATATACATACATACATATATATATATATATATATATATATATATATATATATATATATATATATATATATATATATATATATATATATATATAAAATAGATGACAACATGTTTGTATGTACACATTGGACATATCACATTGGGATATTTAACAAGTTGTTTAAAGTTTAATTACATTGAGTTTTACGAATATTTATGGCACAAAACAGTTTATTATTTTGTACTGAGTCGCCAATATATCGTGTGAAGACAATAAATAAAGGAAATAAAAGAAGTCCACAATATTTTGAATGGTATAAATCTTTTTGCGACATCGCGACTTGAATTATTTGGTGCTGGGAAGCGGATATTGAAAGTTGTCCGACGACCTATAGGTGGATACTTTCCAAAACTAATTATCGACGCCTATTTTTGGCGATTGAATTGTACGAAAAGGAAACATGGCCATCACTGTCGCCTGCATCTCGCCTGTATGTGGCCACAACAGAATATCAGTGTTTTGCCCTTTTGAGGGCAAAGCAATAAACTGAGTTGTGACCATTTTGAGTCACTATGACACGCGCGTGAAGGAAATAAAAGGAAATTGTTTTATTTATTTATGGTTATTTTTTTTTTACTGTGTATTATGTGTATGTTTGTATTGTAATTTGTGTGGTGCAAGTAATGTAAATGAATTATCTATCTATCTTAAACTATATTGACCAAGTTTTTGTTTTAATGGCAGAAAATGTAATGGTAACCCCGCTTGTGCTAATGGTATACGCTGGCGGGGTACCAGTAAGAGATTATTGTTATATAAATAAATTATCAGATATCTATATATTCAAAATAATATTTAAAAAAAAATAAATTAAGATGCAACCCTCAGTATGGTGAGTCCAACTCGCACTTGACCTAATTTCAATACAATTTACAATTATTTATATAATATTAACTATACTCAAGTTTACAATATTTAAATAATTAAAACAATTTGGAACATACTCTTTGGAATCAACTTCCAGCAGCAGTATTTCCCAACTGATACGACATCATAATCGTCAAGAAAAGAGCATATTCCTTTTTAAAAAACCAGCAGCACACCTGCAATGCCGTTGGTGATCATGGGCGGTGATAGTCACTTACCATCAGGTGAGTCGCATGCTCGTATGCCCCCTGTATTGTAAAAAAAAATTAAAACAATTTGCTCCTATCACCATACTTAATCCATAGTATTATTATAAATATGAAAGTAAGGTTGGTTATCACCTCTGAACGCTGTAAAGTCAAGGTTAATTAGCATGATTATATATATATATATATATATATATATATATATATATATATACGATATATATATATATATATATAAATACTGTGTCGAATGAAGAACATAAGCTACTATTTCTCCTGTTCACGTAGACGAAGTTGCGCAGCAAACTAGTATATCAATTAATTTTTTTTATACAACTTAGAATGACAAACAAGCTGACGACCCACCTGATAGAAAATGGTAACCGTCGCCTATAAACATGAGCAGTACCATGGACATAACAGAGTATACTGTTTCACCCATGATACCCACCATGTGTTGCCATTCCTGAGGACTCAGATGTTATTCCTCTGTACCTTGTAAATTCATGCCATACAACTGCTTCACGGTTGAAACACGAATAGGACAGAGGTACCCATGCAATCGACTTTTGTACAAAGTCTCCCTCTGGTATAATATCTGAAAGCAATCAATACAATTTTATATATATTTAGTTAAAACACATTTAGAATACCCAAATACTTCTGGTACCATATGTTACTAGAACCAGTTCTCCCAAAAAGGATTTTATATTAAAACTTAGAATTGATTTGTAGAAAGTAAAATTGGCCTGAATAATGCTCGGCGCGCCTTTACATTTGAATTTTAGTCAATAATTTGCATAATTCAATCAATTTTATATACGTGCTTTTACAACTTGGTCAAAATACCTAATTCCAAAAAATAGAGGTTTTCAATTCGTTGTATACAATATGATATTTTTGCAAATTCTCAACTAATTTTTTTATACCACTGAGGTGGCAAACAAGCATACGGCTCACCTGATGGTAAGTGGTTACCATAGCCTATGAACGCCTGCAATACCAAGGGTATAATTATATTTAATAATTTACAATCCATAGGTTTTACTCCCATGTTGGTCTGTGGCCATTTAGTATCAGGAAACCCTTATGCTTAGACTCGAACTTATGTTAAAAGTAGAAATAAAAGTCAATACAAATGATATGTTCTTTTAATATGTGTTGAAATATACATCCATCTGAACTTTAAATGTCATTTATAACAAATTCTCCATTAATCCATACAAACATTTCTAAATATAATAATATATATGAATCGGTATTTCATGTAATTAAAAGACCTATGATTTGTAATAATATTATAACTCATACATATGTACTTTTACTGATATATTTGAATTAAAACAAATCTCAAACAATTCTCTAGTACACAAGTTTACTGTTTTAAAACTCTACATAAGTACACGAATCTATTCACATTCGACTTCCAATAATAATTCGAATTCCAACTTACTCAGCCTAGTCAAAGGGCAAGTCGACTTACTCAGCCTAGTCAAGGGACAAGTCGACTTACTCAGCCCATTCAGCCACCCGTTGCGTTGACTACGATGATAGTCGACTGATTTATTGTAATATAACTCACATATACCTGCTGACATATATATTTCCAATTTAAAATAACATCTCGAACAATTTTCTAATCCATTAGCTTCCTGTGGGCCTACCATGAAATGTTTTCCGAAATTTCGGAGCCAAACGAAACAGAAATTTGATGTTAAAATTACATAATACATTTGGACATATTAAAAATGTTAAAATATTGTTCTTTTGGACTTTTATGATAGGATCTATGACGAACGAAATGTTCAATTCCATTTATTGGTCCGATTTTGATATAAACAAAAACACAAAACTGAGTCCGAAATTTCGGAATTTCATTTCATTGTAGACCCGTTGTTTTAAAACTCTAGAAACTCGAATCTCTTTACATTTGACTACAGGGACAAGTCAGCTCACTCAGCACACTCAGCCAGACGAGTCGACTACTTACGATATTAGTCATCTCATACCATTATTAGGGTCCATTAAATTATTTTATCTCACATTAAGCAATAACAATTATCTACTATATTTCCAAACTGATTATTTTAATATATAGTCGACAATAAAACCTTTTTATCGAATTTTATTTCCAATTTCGTATTTGTATAATACATATAGAATTTTGAATTCGGCAATTTTTTCTGAAGAAATATCGTCATCGTCGTAGAATACTAACGGACCTGACAAATATTACATATATAGATCCGTCAGTATTCTACGACTATGACGATATGAATATTTCTCTATTCTCTCTCTCTCTTTCTCTCTTTTGTTTCGTCCCTCTTACATCAAGTCCGAGATTTGTTTAAAATATTAGACTTTATCATATATGTAAGTTGTTATTCCATAAGTTTTCTGTTCTTATGACCTAAGAATAATAAATTATATATTGTATGAGACATGGAAATTTACTATCATTAACTTATTATTAAATATCAATGTAAATATTTTTTTCTAATTGGGAATAAATGATATGTAGAACATATTTCAAATACACAATCAGGACTTAACGCAATGGAAAACCTTTTCCAGGTAAATAGTACCTACATACCTGCTTCTTTATTGCCGACGTTTGAAATTTGGAATTTAAAATTAAATATTACAAACGGCTACGACACGAGAACATTTATCAGCTTCACATAAATGTAAAAAAAATAATGCTTATACTATGTTTAATAGAACACCATCTAAACATACTAAATACATACGTATACTACATAAAAAATTCCCACACTAATACAAATATACATAATCAATACAAATGTTTGTATTGTTCAGAAATCGAACCCGCAACCGTTGCAGTGTCGTCCAACTAGATCTGTATCTGTTTACCATCTACATCCATCTTAATTAGAGGGTGAAGTTAAAATAGAACGGGGAATAGTAAGTTAAACATTGAAAAAAAACTTTAAAAAAAAGGCTGTCATACTAACAAAGAGTTTTCCCTTCCATCATATCCTTGTAAAAAATATTCAAATTTACCGATTAAACAATCCTTTAAAAGAAAGCTATTAACTTTCCGTCCCATACATTTACAGTATATCCACTTTAAGCCACTATTCGAAAATTTATTACAATTATTGATAATTTTACAATATATAACATTGGAACAAGAGAACAAAGCGTTACGGTCGTAACAAAGATGGCGTCTCACGCATGAAACCTATGTTCCTGTTAAGGGACTACTCACACTTATTCAGCTCTATTCAGCTTTTATCCATAGAATACAACGATTTTGTATGGAGACGTGTACGCATCCATTCAGCGTTCCGCGTTTATTCTGCTTTCGCAGCAACTCAGTATAAAATGAGGATTAATGTGTATTTATCATGCGAATGCTATTGAGAGCGATCAGCGCTGTTCCGCCGCATTCACCGTCGAACGCGGCGAAACAGCTCTTTACAGGGATGTTTCGCGACTCCTTGTCGACAAGTTGCGACCTGTATTGTTTCTGCATTGATTTGATTTATTATTGCGTAATCATTATGTACGCAAGGAGTAAAGAGTGCAGACGTATTTTATAGTAATTATAATTATTTTATTTTTACGAAATGCAGCATATTCAACGCCGTACGCAGTAGACAAGCGTTTCAGCGGAGATAGCACGCTATGACGGCTTTTCTCATTCTTACGACGCCGTACGCGGCTGATAGAAGCAAAGCTGTATACTCGTATGTGTGACCAAGATCGTTCAGCGAAACGCGAATGGAGGTGAGTAAGTGTGAGTTGTCTCTAATAATACAGGAAAGTTACTTCGGAACATTAATATTGTAGTCATTAATAGCAACATAACATTATGTACATGTCCACAATTCACTCGCTGACCGTGATGGTCAGCTGCTTGCTCCTGTTGTTCTCGAAGCGGTCCATCGTCTTTATGTCCAAGATCATGGAGATTGATATGCCGAGACCTATCAGCATTATGAAGGTCACCATTAAACCAGACCTGCAATTGAAGAAATTATAATAAAATGAAAATATTTTACTTATTTATATTAAATTTTTTTTTATTATGTTACTTGGTACAAACCATAGGTAAATAAAAAAAATAGATTAAGAAAGAGACACCTAATAGAGATACTTTTTTTTTATAAATTCATACATATTATGTATAAAAAAAAATCACCCAGACAAATACAAACAAATATTTATTTTTTTATTTTTTATTTTATTTATTCATAAACAAAAATTTGTATTTGAATGTTATAGTAGATACAATAATTTCATACACTATATAAAATATAAATTAAATCAAGCATAAAACAAATATTATAGTCACTTAGTCATCCCTTAACATAAACAATATAGGTATATATTCAAATTTACTATAATTAGAATTCGTCAATTGAGTACAGACACCTTTCTAGCAGTAATGACTTCAATTTTGTCCTGAAGATATTTAAATCATTCAGTGACTTTAATTCCTTAGGCAGCTTATTAAATATATACCACCGCTTGGTTTCGTGGACAATGTTGTACTATGTTAAATGTGGGTACAATAACCTTTTGTAAATCCATCCTTCTTGTAATTAATCGTTGTTTCATTCTATCCTCTGATTCATATAAATGTCTATTTTTAATTAAATCTATTAGCAGAACATGAATATATAGGCTTGGAACAGTAAGTATTTTTAGTCTTCTAAAATGTCCTGCACACGATTCCCAGGGAGGAATATGAACCATGGCTCTAATGGCTCTCTTTTGTGCTATAAATGCTCTATTTGTGTTATACTTGTAGCTATTTCCCCAAAATTTTATGCTATATCGTAATCGCGATTCTACCAAAGCATAATAGATTGTCAACAACTGGTTTTCTGTAAGCTCTTCTCTCAGAGTACGAAGTGCATAGCATGCAGAGCTTATAGCGTCGTCTACTGCACTTACTTCAGCTTTCCAATTTAAGAGCGAATCTAAATATATACCTAAGAATTTCATTGTTTCAACCATTTTGAGAGCTACTCCATTTACATGTATACTAAGGCTTTGGTTATTTCTAACTGTTGTTTTAAACACCATGACATTAGTCTTAGATGTATTTAGTATCAGGTTATTTACTGAAAACCACGTGTTAAAAGCCGTCATTACTGCATTAGTCTTATTGCTCAAATCCGTTACATTATTACCAGAAATTACTGCATTTGTATCGTCAGCAAAAATAACTATCCCAATATCAAAGAACAAATTGTACATATAATTTATTAAATCATTCAAAAATATTATGAAAAATATTGGGCCTAATACTGAACCCTGAGGTACACCTCTTGTTACAGTTGCTAGTGCTGATTTATATGACTTTTTCATGCCATCGTCATCTATGTCTACAATTTCTACAAACTGTTTTCTGTTACTTAAATAGGACTTCAGTAAGGAAAGAGATTTATCTGTAACACCATAGTAATGAATTTTATTTATCAGTACGTCATGGTCAATAGTGTCGAAGGCAGAGCTCAAGTCCAGGAATATTCCAGCTACTTTCAATTTTTCATTAAGTCGTCTTGTTATGTCGTCGATCATAGTATCTATTGCATCAGACGTTCCAACTCCTTTTTGATATCCAAACTGACGTCCATTCAACAACTTATTTGTATTAAGGTGAGTCATTAATTGTACTTTAATTAACTTTTCAAAAATTTTTGATAATATTGGGGGAAGAGCAATTGGTCTATAATTATTTACATCAGATTTTGACAACTTCTTATGTACGGGAATAATTTTTGATATTTTTAATTGATCTGGAAAAATGCCTTGATTAATACATGCATTAAATAAATACGATAAGGGCTCTGCCAATATGTCAATATTATCCTTAATTATTTTTGAGGGCATATCATCGTAGCCACTTGAATTTTTATTTTCCATTTTCTTTACTACAGAGGTTACTTCTGATACAGTAGTTTGTCGGAACTCAATGTTTTTTTCAGGCTTCAAACCATTTCTGTGTAATATTGCCATTGCTTCTTGAATATTTGTAGTATTTATTTTTTTACTGCAATCAAATTTATTAGAAAACATTTCTATAATTTCTTTAGGATCTTTGATAGTTATATTATTTGATTTTAGTATAATTTTCTCATGTATAGTCGAAAATTTGTTATTTCTATATTTATTTACAACTTTCCATATTTCTTTGTTGGAGTTTTTACAATTATTTATACTATTTTGCACAGTGAACGTTTTTGAATGTCTTATTACCTTCCTGTAAATATTTATGTATTTTTTCCGATAATTATATAAGCTCACGTGGTTATGGTTATTATCCAAAGTACAGAGAATACGTTTCATTTTGCTAGAAACTCTAATACCTTTCGTTACCCACTTCAATTTTCCATTATTACGAATATTAGTTTTGATTATTTTCTTTCTAAAACTTTTTCTAAAAATATCACTGAATTTATGCAAAAAGTCATTTATACCCAATTGAAGCCATTTCACTTTCTTTAAGCTCTGTCTAAAATTTCTATTATTGTATGCATTAAAAATTCTTTTTCAACGCTTATATATTTTTGCTTCCATTTTTCTTGGTTAAAATTTTCTGATAAGACTTGAGTCATGATAGCTGCATGCCCGTCTGAAAGTCCATTATAATCTACTGTAGTGTTAGTAAATGAATTGTCTGATAGGTTTGTTAATAGATTATCAATACATGAGTGGGATTCATTTCTCACATATGTGATGTCATTAATAAGATATCTAAAATTATACGATTTGATTAAGTTTATAAAGTCAACTTTCATTTTACTTTCTTTTGCTAAGTCAATATTGAAGTCACCACATATTATACATTTCTTATCAAAGTAATACTGTAAAAATAATTCAAATTTTTCAATAAAAGTGTCAACGTTAGAACCATTTTGATAACAACAAAAATAATTTATCCCTGTGCTAGAATCCTGAACTCCACATATTTCAAAATGCCTTTCATCACTGAATTTTTCACAAGCAACAATATTTTTTGCTTGTCTGTTCTTATTAACTAATATTAGAGTGCCGCCTCTCTTTTTATTAATTCTAGAATAACATGATTTTAAATCATACTTCGTAAAATTTATTGAAGTTAGAGAATCCATTTTTAAAAAATGTTCGGAAATACAAACGTAATCAGGTGAATTAAGAAGCATTTCGAAATATAACTCCAATTGATCCAATTTCGTTCTAAGACCACAAACATTTTGATAAAATATGTTTGTAGGAGCGCATGCAGTTAAACCTTTATTACGCGTATTAAAGACGAAAACAAGTATCTGAATTTTCATTTTCATTTTGATATTCAACTCCTGCTTGCGTGGCCTGTATCACATATTCTGTCTCCGTCTGAGTGGACTGAGATACATATGTTCTGGTCAATGTATTTTTATATTGTGAACTTATATTATTTTTGCTTTTTTGCATATATATATTATATTTAATTTTATAGTCAATCATCAATATATCTTTAAGCAATCTTTGGCTAATATGCGTTGTAAAATAATTTTTGTATGGCAAATATCTACTGAAGTCCATGTTAATGAAAGTTACATTTTTAAATTGGTTACAAATCATTTTTAGGTTACTATTTAGTTTACGTTCATTTAACACAACATTTTTTGGTATTTCTCCTATTAATACATTAGCTTTACATTTTAAATTATTTAAAAAACAATACAAGTACGATATGCATTCATATGGATTCTTATCATGTATACCACCCAAAACAATTATATAATCATTTTCCGTCAAAGAGTTCTGAGATTGTACATTCTGACCAATTATATCACTCAAACGTGCTCCTGGTTTAAAAGTGCAATGTACTTTGTATTGTGATCCTAACAAATTTTGCATTTTTTGTCGCAGTCCTCTTCCTTGTTCATCAGCCATAATAATTACTTTTTTCTGCTGGATCGATTCTACATTTAATTTTTTCTTTGTAGTAGTTAATAAGACAGAAGGAGAGACAGAAGCGGATATATTGCTTTCTGGATTATCTTTACATGTATCCGCACGGTTTGGTAATGATTTCAATATATTTATATTATTACAGATATTGGAGTCCTGATTCTTTAACTTAGGCGATGTGCATTCTGTATGTAATAATTTTCTTGGTATATTGGTACATAATATACTCATAAATACAAATGTTTGTATTATGTATAAATCGAACCCGAGACCATACGGTGTATTCCACTAACATCAGTACAGTTGTGGAAAGTAAAAATAATATAAACAAAATAATAATAAATATAAATAAAATAAACAAATCTCACCATATAGGGACTGTAGTGAAGCCGACACAGTCGAAGGCGTCCGCGAACTTCCCAGTGCTGTCCATGTACGGCTGCATCTGAAAGGACGAGGCACGCCGGGTGGAATCCATATCGATAGATAGATAGATAATTTATTTGCATTACTTACAGCACACAAATTACAACATACATATACAAAAAAAAGCGAGATAACATAAATGGTTAAAAAAATACATAAAGCTAAATACAATTTTCGTTTGTGAGTGTGCCATAGCAATACAAAATGGCCACAACTCAGTTTATTGCTTCGCCCTCAAAATTAATTAAAGTTAAGATTAAAAAATTATATATCGCCGTGTGGTCCCGGCATAGAAGGGGTCGTCCCTTTCTTTCCCGTGGGTGTCGTAAGAGGCGACTAAGGTAACTTATTGGTCTCAGAAGTTCATATCACTAGTTAGTTACTATACTACTACGATTCGCAATTTGGGCGTCGAAAAGTTAATACTAGGCTCCAGCAGCGATATAATAATTCACCTGAAGACGCCTCGTTTAGAGATAAAAACACATGTCGCAAAACGTGCGTGGACTGTATAGCGGTCAGAGGCTGATGTCTAATAAGGAAGCGCTGATAATAATAGTAGTAATAATTCTTCGAACGTTGGCAGTCGCACACAAACTACATACATACATATCTGTCACGCCTGTCTCCCATTAGGGTAGGCAGAAACAATGGAACGCCAAATGCTTCGATTCAAACAAACCTCTGCACGCAAACTAATGGTAGCAGAATTAAACAAAATAGTTCTTATCAACTAACTGGTAAAATCTATGATAACAACACCTTGTGATTGGGGGGAAAGGGATTGTTAGCAATGGAATTTGACAGCCCCATTGCTAGCAATATGCCTTATTAGGTCGACCTCCACCTGGTTCCCCCTGGAAACCATCGTGAACAATTCTTGTTGAATTCGTCACGATGAGCTAACTGACCTACTTCATCCTCACCTATCATTCTTCACTGGTGCCCCACCGGTGTAGACCAATAGCGCAGGTGGGGCTACCATTCCATTATCATCCATTAAAAAAAACTTGTGATTGTGAAGAAATAAACCTCACCTGAATATCAGGTAGCGTCAACGTCGCCTCTTCAGAGGAGTAGACTAAAGGCTGTGAGCAGTGATACGCCCGGCCGAGGACGGCGGAAGGCGCGTCAGGGGGCGCTGGTGCCTTCAAGTTCAGGCCAGTCGTCTCCAGCCCGAACTTCACCTCCACACCGACCGCCGTCCACCAGCCGGCGGCTTGTTTGAAACTGAACTCTAAAGTTATCTGCAAATGAGAAATATGAATCAACTAAATATCACTGTTGGTTCACAGTTTTCTATCCAGTTTTTAATACGCAATGATCAACGATAAGATTTTTTTTTAATGGGTGAAAATGGTATGGTAACCCCGCCTGCGCTAACGGGATACGCTGGCGGAGCACCAGTGAAGGGCGATAGATGAAAATGAAAACAGGCCAGTTAGCCCATCATGATGAATTCATATATATATATATATATATATATATATATATATATATATATATATATATATATATATATATATATATATATATATATATATATATATATATATATATATATATATATATAAATATATATACCCGATTATTATATATATATATATATATAAATACGTGCAAATATAATTTTAATTATAAGCCCACCTTATCCCTGGTGTCGCCGTCAGCAAACCGCACCACCAGTATGGTGTAGAGCCTGGTGGGCTTCACGGTGGGCTCCCCCACCGGCGCATTCAGCACGATCACCGTACCGTTGGTCCACCGCAGCTCCGGCCACCCCGACGAGTACAGGAGGGCATTTTTACCAGGCTGACCTGAAACGAACGCAATAAACGAAGCGAAGTTAGTATCCTTTTCGAATATAAAAAAAGCTATATCTTAATACTGTGTCCCGCGTGTGTGAATCTGCATAATAGTATAAAATATTGTATATTCTAAGTTAGGACATAACCTATCTGTGTATCAAATTTCATGTAAATCTGTTTAGTAGTTTTTGCATGAAAGAGAAACACCCATTCATACGTCCACCTACCCCCAATATGAGGGGGGAAAGGGATTGTTAGCAATAAGTTTGACACCATTGCTAGTAATATGCCCTATTAGATCGACCTCCACGTGGTTCCCCCTGGAAAATATCGTGAACAATTGTTATTAAATTCGTCACGATGGACCAACTGACCTGCTTTATCCTCACCTATTATTCTTCACTGGTGCCCCGCCGGCGTATCCCGATAGCGCAGGCAGGGTTACCATTCCATTATCACCCATTAAAAAAAACCCCCAATGTGAGCCCAGATTTGATCGGGAATATGGATAGGTAAAGAGGGTATTTTAATGGGTATATGGTAACCCCGCCTGCGTTATAGGTATACACTAACAGGGTACCAATGGGGGGAAGGAATTGTTAGCAATGGAGTTTGACAGCCCCATTGCTAGCAATACGCCCTATCAGTTCAACCTCCGCGTGGTTCCCCCTGGAAACCATCGTGAACAATTCTCGTTGAATTCGTCACGATGGGCTAACTGACATGTTTCATCCTCGTCTATCATCCTTCATTGGTACCCCGCCAGTGTAGTGGAGCTACTATTTTATTATCACCTATAAACAGGGTACCAATGAGAAATGACAGATGAGCATGAAAGCAAATCAGTTAGCCCATCCTGACGAATTCAACTAGAATTAAGCACGATGGTTTCCAGGGAGAACCACGTAAAGGTCGACCTGATAGGGTATATTGTTAGTAATGGGGTTATTTGACCCCATTACTAACAATTCGTTTCCCCACAGATAAGGAGGGTAAAAGGATGTTGCGGCTTTCCGTTCAAAATTGTTTTAAAGTACGAATACATTAAAAATGATGATATTATATTAACCCGAATGAGATATCAGTTGTCATTATCTCAGTCTATCTACAACGAGTCTAAGGGACCTGGTGTGTGTTATCATAATTCACGCGTGCGAAGTCGCGGCCAAGAGCTAGTGTTCAGTATACGCACCAGTGGCATTGTATAACGCGTACTTGGGTAGCGCGCGCCCGCCAGGCTTGTCATCGTCCGCAGCAGTGCTGTCACTGGTGGTTGCCTCCTCGGCAGCCTGCCGCCTCGCGCGCGGCCACGACTCGCTCTCATAGTCCGCCGACTGGCTTCGGGACACCGAATTGCCTATTAACAAACGGAAACGTTGTACAAAAGTCGTCGTGTTTACGTATCTCTTTCCCACATGTGGTTCCGAGTTGGTGAGAAAAAGATAAAACATATCAACAACTAAATTTTTTTTTATACAACATAGAATGGCAGACAAGCTGACGGTCCACCTGATGGAAAGTGATAACCGTCGCCTATAGACATGAGCAGTACCATGGACATAACAGAGTATACTGTTTCGCCCATGATACCCCCCATGCGTTGCCATTCCTGAGGACTCAGGTGTTATTCCTCTGTACCCTGTAAATTCACTGCCTTATCCCACTCTTCAAACTAAAACACAGCCATGCAAACACAACTGTTTAACGTTGTAGTTCAGACTGCATTATAAAGACAAATACGACAATCGTCAAAATATTGCTCATCGTAAACGCTAGGCGCTAATCATTGACAATAATTTTATTCTTTTTATTTATTACAATAAAATTATATATTTAAATTGTCAATATCCTCATTACAATTACTGCTTAACTTAAACTAAATTTATTATTTTTTTTATAAATGCTACAATAAAATCTAAATAAATAAGTAAAATGAAATTTACAGTTGAATTCTGGCAACACTTTTCATTAGAGGAAGATTTTGTTGGACGAGCGAAAAGTCATCTCTGTTACGTCCATGGTTTTTCATCGAATAATAATAACGACGGTTTCTTAAATTCCATCATTTGGACCGTCAGCTTGTTTGCCATTCTAAGTTATATAAAAAAAAATTATGTACCCATATTGAAACATGCTAGTATTGCTTTTTGTCCGCTACATCCTACGCGTAGATTTCAAAAATAGAAAAATTTATTAAATAAACTACTTCACATGGGCTATCAAAGTAAAACACATACATAACATAATAAAACACATAGTTGTATACAGCTGTGAAAATCGTGATTTTTGCTTTCACGTGACGCCAGAAGGAATATATAGGTAGACAAAATTTCTGTAAATTATTGTTTTGGCCTCTATCGGTCTTACTTAAGATTCTTGTTAATTTTTTTTTACATATCTTCCATATACAAACATTGTGTAGATACATTTTTATTACATACATACATAGGGTAGGCAGAAACAATGGAACGCCAAGTGCTTCGATTCAAACAAACCTCTTTCGCTTCTTCCACATTCATCAATCTTTTCATACACACTCGCCAGTTACGGGTACTTTTAATTTGGCCCTTGTACAGTATGTTGTCTATTTGGTCAACATACGTCCGTCTAGCGCGGCCCCTACCGACATCTCCATTCATTTACATTTTCAGTTACATTTTTATTATTGTAATAAAATTACTTATATCGTTACCAACCCAGTATTCCAAGCACACGCCCTGAGCCATATATGTCCTGTAAACGGGCAAAGGTCTCCGTCATTTGAGCGTCCCGCTCTGACCACGGCCCTTGTAGAGTTAGCATCTGAAACGAGACAGTAATTAAAAGTAAGTAAATTACATATATATGTAGAATGGTGCCTAATGGAAATTGGTAACCGGCACCTAAAGACATGAACAGTACCAGCGATATCTGAGAATGCACTGTATGTGTAAAATAGAATCAGAACAGATAAAAGTGCGCCATAAGAGACACTTCGGTGAATTAATCACATTTTTTGATAAAAAGATGATCACGGGAACAGTATCCAAATAAAATTATTAACAAATGTAAACACTAAATGAAATAATCGATTATTTATTTGTACTATCTGCTATAAATAAACTATATATATAACCTAGGTATATATTATCCATGGGCCATGCAATAAATAAATAAGGGAGACTTTGTACAAAAGTCGATTGCTTGGGTACCTCTGTCCCATTCGTGTTTCAACCGTGAAGCAGTTGTGTTTGCGTGACTGTGTTTCGGTTTGAAGGCTGGAATATGACGTGAATTTACTGGGTACAGAGAAATAACACCTGATTCCTCAGGAATGGCAACGCATGGGGGGTATCATGGGCGAAACAGTATACTCTGTTATGTCCATGGTACTGCTCATGTCTATAGGCGATGGTTACCACTTTCCATCAGGTGGGCCGTCAGTTTGTTTGCCATTCTAAGTTGGATAAAACAAACAAAACAAATAAATAATATCATTGAACATCAGCAGACTGTCCTACAGTTATAACAATAACTCGTTTATTTAGATTACCATCAACTGCTATTGAAAGTTACTTTAACTCACCTGTGTTTCGTTACTGATATAATCCGGATGTACGTCCAAGAAGTCCTGAGGCAACACCAACGTAGCCTGTCCCTCCAGCATCTTCCTTAACCTGGGGAAGTACCCACTCGACAGTGGCACCGAGTCCTGGTTGTTGAAGACGACTATCGCCGCCTGTTCGCCGTATACCCTCATCAGGTCATCTTGACCTAAATATTTAAGTGCTGGCCTTTTGTATTTCTCAAGCGATTTTGGACCGAAAAACAAGAACGGACCTTCTAAATTCGCGTACACTGTATATATGTACGTTAATAATAATATTAAATGAATTTTTGAATGCATTTTGAATGTTCACTGATATGTTTGGACTGTGAATGAAGACGGGGGTGCAAATCGATTTGTGTCCGCGCATGCGTCGAGCGAGTGCACTTCAGAGATGAAATGTAGAGAACATTGTATTTGAGTACAGGTGGCATGAATTTTATATATTTTAATATGATTCAAATAAGTAAATGTACTCAAGGTTATAATTATTATAATATTATTTTATACATGCATGGTGTTTGTCTATCATGCACAGGTTTTCAACGACCATATAATTGTTATATATATATATATATATATATATATATATATATATATATATATATATATATATATATATATATATATATATATATATATATATATATATATTCCCTTTCTATTTACTATATCTTTTAATTCGGTGTGCCTCCTGGCATAGGCCACCTCCAGCTCTCCCCACTGAACTCTATCCTCCGCCACTCTACTCCAGTAAGGCCCTAAAGTTTGACGGATGTCGTCTATCCATCTTATTTTCGAACGCCCCTTTCTTCTAGTGTCTTCTCTTGGATACCATAAAGTTATTTATTTACTCCATTTGTCAATTTTGCAACGTAGCATAACGCATAACAGTACAGGGGCGGGCTCTTGCGGGCTCTTCTCAACATACGAGTATAACAACTTTCCGAGCCATGTATTCATAAAAATGACAATTTAAAACGGCTTGTGTACAAGTTTATTTGAATAAGGATGATTTAAATTTGATTTTGATGGGGTACCCAGTTACGTCATAGTATTGGTCATTGGACATGGCCAATACTATCTCTACCGCATATATACAGGTATGTATAAATATACCTGACCAAATTAGTTGAACCAATTTTTCTAATTGGATTCGAAATTGGCCAAGTTATTGCGTAATTACACATAAAAAATACAGACGACTTGAAGACCGCCTTTTTTTTAAGTTATAAATGGAAAGTAAAATATGTAGCTTTTTATAATCTTTTTCATTAATTTTACCATTTGTTTTGTGAAATGGGTGGTAAGTTTAATAAAACGAAGTGAATAATAACAACAACAATTTATTATACTGTACAAATTTGGTTTAATATAATCATTTAAATATACATAAAAAAATCTAGTTTGTGCCTACTCATTAAAAACAGTCTGTACAAATACTTCTAATAATAAACGTTTATTATTTATATTCATGCCATGGAAAAAGACAGTAAACATATATATATATATATATATATATATATATATATATATATATATATATATATATATATATATATATATATATATATATATATATATATATATATATATATCCAAATAAAAAAAAATAATGGAATAAATTTTGAAGAAACGAACGAGCGACACTCTTATTAGATAGGATTTAATTTGATTTCTTTCTTTTATAAATATACTTTTAAATCAATACACTGAACCCAAATATTGTTCTTTTAATAACTATATTTTTATGTAGCTTGGAATGCTAAACAAGCTGACGTCTCGCCTGATGGAATGTGGTAACTATTGCCTATAAAAATGAACAACACCGTGAACGCCATAGAGCGGAGTTTCCCAACGTGGGGCCCACGCCCCACAGGTAGGCAATTTGATAGTTAAGGAGGCCAATTAAAAATGGACTCGAAGCGATTTTAACCCTACTACGACTAAATGCTAAGAGTATATATCGGTGCCAAATTTAACAAAAAAAAGTAAATAAAAAAAATGTTATGAATATTTATTAGGTATAATTTCATTTGACGTTACCAAAATATTAACTGGACAATTATAGCGTCAAGTAAACTTTGTCAGGAAAAATAATGTATGGGGCATAAAAATTTTAGAAATGTTCAAGTGGGACATGGCACAAAAATGGTTGGGAAATACTGTCACAGAGTCTACCGTGATGCTTACGGTACCTCTCATGCGTTGCCATTCCTGACAACTAAGATATATGTATACTATAACGCACAGTTTCGTTTAAAAAAATACGCGTCTACCAAGAGTTTTTTTTTTTTTTATATATATATGTTTTACCTTCTTTAAATATCTCTCTCTCTATCGTACCCTGTACTGTTTTTCCAGATAAGGTTTTATTCAGTTTGTTTTATGACGGAAAAAGAGGAATTAATTGGCATTAATAATTTACAGAATATTCAAAAATTTCTGATTTAAGTTCAGCTGTTTTAGTGAAAATGGCGTTATGAGATGTAAGTATTTTGCAACTCGATGCTCCATCTAAAATTATACTAAATAAGTTCAAATATAAAATTGTCTTTTTAAAGTATTGCAGGTACAATTTTGATTGTTGTAGAATGCCTCAGTTTTAATTCTATAAATGTTATCCATATAGAACATTTTTTTTATATATTATTTATTTTTTTTTATTATAAATAGAGACGTCAGTATTAGAAGAAATGAGACGTGCACACGACTCGCTGCAGATCGGGAAAAGATGAACGAATTCTCTGTAACAATAAATAATGCAATTATTATATTTATTACAATTATACATATCATATACATTTATTTATATAAATATATATTTATATATTAATTACTATATTTATATTGGAATTTTATTCTAAGAAGTTTGAATGAGCAAGACGTCGGTTATTGATGGAATGGTAACACTTAAGCCAATCGTTTTTATACAGAGATATAGAAACGTATTTAAGGGGGACTAGGTGAGTTCTAGAAATATTTTCCCTAGTTCTAGAATAATTATTATCCAGGTCACCCTGGAAATAAACATACTAGTACAAAAATGCAACAGATAAAATCCGGCTCGAAGGATCACAATATATATACTTCACAGTCCTTTGTATTAAATATCCCTGTTTTCTGTCACGCCTTGTGTGAGTAAAGACGCCATTGTCTATGACCTTGATTATATGAATGTCATTATCTAAAAACAGCTACGATTTACTAACGCAACGGGAACTAGTGATTCCACTGCTAACAAAGTCACCAGAGGGAGACTTTGTACAAAAGTCGATTGCTTGGGTACCTCTGTCCCATTCGTGTTTCAACCGTGAAGCAGCTGTGTTTGCATGGCTGTGTTTTGGTTTGAAGGGTGGGATATAGCGTGAATTTACTGGGTACAGAGGAATAACACCTGAGTCCTCAGGAATGGCAACACATGGGGGGTATCATGGGCGAAACAGTATACTCTGTTATGTCCATGGTACTACTCATGTGTATAGGCGACGTTTACCACTTTCCATCAGTTGGACCGTCAGCTTGTTTGCCATTCTAAGTTGTATAAAAAAAAATCGTAGGGAAGGTGTCTTTAGTAATAAGGACCAAGAGCCCCATTTCAATGAATATACCCAATCAAGTAGACCTCCACGTGGAAACATTCGTGGTTAATTCTTGGTAAACTCGTGACAATGAGCCGAATTTCATAACTTCATGTTCACAGATAGCGCGGGCAGAGTTGCCATTCCAATTTGTTCTCATAAAAATCCTATCAGATTGACCTCCGCCTGGTCCCCTAGAAACCATCGTGTTTAGATAGATAGATAGATAGATACTCTTTATTGTTTCCTCCAAAAGATTACAATAGTAAACTTATAATAGATATAAACAATTACTAGTTTAATACTAGTAAATCTGGTCACGAAGAGCATCAGGCCTGATTATATCACTAGTACTCCGCCAGCGTAAAAGGCAGACGTCTGCATTAATAATTTACGAAAATAGAACGATAATCCTTACCATTACATTTTCGTCGATAAAAAAAAAGGAATTAAAAGAAAGTTCTTAAGCATGTAAATTTTAAAACGATAATCTACTCGAGTTGGATCTATTTACAGGTTGTTCGCTGGCTTCATTCAGACTCTGCTTGCGCCTGTGTCTTGTATAAGTGATTTTTTCCATTTTTCATTTAATTTGGATAGTTTTTTTTTAATGGGTGATAATGGAATGGTAACCCCACCCGCGCCAACGGTATACACCGGCGGGGCACCAGTGAAGGATGATAGGTGAGGATGAAGTAGGTCAGTTAGCCCATCGTGACGAATTCAACAAGAATTGTTCACGATGGTTTCCATGGGGAACCACGTGGAGGTCGACCTAATAGAGCATATTGGTAGCAATGGGGCTGTCAAACTCCCCTAATTTGGATAGTTTGGATAGTCGCTTTAAATGAATTGTTATTAAAATGTTATAATTACACAAATATACCTAATGAATATTTCAAATTTATTTTGGACAGTTTGTTCTTTGTTAATAAATAAATAAATCTTGTAACTCACTTTTCTTCTCGTTGGGATCTGTGACGCCACACTGTCGATATGAGGTTGTCTTCTTCCTCTTGGTTTCCACGTAACCAGGTATGAATATACTGGGCTCATCCAGCCGCCCGGATGCCAGCAACCTGCGTAAACATCAAGAAGTAGGTTTTACTTCTTGAACCAAAGTGAGCTTGAACCAAAATGGTCACGTACCTTAGAAATAACGCTCGGGCTATGAAATGAGTTCCCTGAAGAGATTTTCCCTACAGACTATAGTATGGGGTTCTTCAAAAAGGGTATATTAAGGTTTCTTCAGGGTCGGCAACGAGCACGTGGCACCTTTGGTGTTACAAGCGTCGATAGGCTAAAGTGACCGTTTATGATCAGACGGGCTGTATGCTTGTTTGTCACATTTGTGGTATAAAAAAAAATCCCCAGAAAATAACCACTATGGACTACGTGAAGGTTGACCTAATAGGGTGCATATCGATAGCAATGAAGCAGTTAGCCCAGATCATTAACAATTCCTTTACTAATTGTTTTCATTGTGTACATATCAGTTATACAGGAATACGAAGAAATAAAAGAGGCATGCTAACTTGGTGAAGTCGAGCTCGAGGCGGTTGGCGTGCGGGCCGCTGAAGTGCAGCAGCACGTGCAGGCAGGCGCCGGCGTGCAGCGGCCGCGTGCGGCGCGCGTCCACGCCCACCGCCCACTCGGGCGCGCCCAGCACGCGCCGCACCTCCGCCAGGAACAGGCCCCTGCGCACCGCCACGAGCTTAGCGGCTCGTGCACACTACCTTGTGTACTTACGAGTGCAATGTATGCCCCAACATGGACCATCGAGTGGTAAAAACGAACCAAAATTCAGTCAGCCAGATGTGACATTTTGATAACAATTGGTTTATTCTTAGTAAAGTTTTCGTATTAGGAGTATTTAGGACACTCCAGCTAGATATACGATGTAAACTAATATGTATTTATACATATATGATACGATGACGTATGTACATATATTACAATAACCCACGTATCCCTAGAAGATTCTGATGTCATTAAAATTACCTTGGGTACTATAAGTTTTCGGTGATATTGATCACGACCAGACGACGCAAATTGGAACGGCATAGACCATGACGTTAGATGACAGGTGTTATCTGTGATCCCAAAGTACTAGTTAAACTTGATGAATTGTTTTATAAGACTATCATAAGATCAGTACCCATGTATATACATATCGTAACGAGACATGGCCTATATTTTCACAGCATGTACAGGATTACCACATTGCTGAGATGAAAATGCTACGCTGGATGTGTGAAGTTACGCGTGCTGATTGCATCCCTAAAGAACACATTCGCGACAGTCTTGATGTACGTAAGTCAAAATTCAATTTCATAAAGAATACTAGTACGTTTCGACTTCCCGATTTCCCTCAAATCTAAAAACCCCAAAACAAGGGAACCAGTACAATTTCTGACACATGAGGCATCTTCAATACCTTAGTCCTCGGATGTGAATGAATAAAATGGAGTTATTGAAGTCACACTTACAGAACAAATCTCGGCGGCTTCATAATATTGAAGGCTTTGATGATATCCTTGTCTGGTTCTATGTTGGCGCACGCGAACCTCTCGCCACTCCGCTCCGGCCCGAAGATCACGATGGAGCGCCCCATCGCGCTCACAGTGCCCTCTAGTGGGAAATTGCTGTCCACGAACATTTGACGTTCGCCTCCTATGTCTGCAGAGAAAATTATTTAACGCACATTTATTAGACTCTTAAAGAATCGAACGCGCTGTATGAAAGGTAGTTTTTATCCGCACCGAAAGAGTTACCAATACGTTGTTTTAGTTGTGATTGAACTTGATAGGATTTTTCTCGATAGTTCTTTATTAATAAAATATAAAATTTCTTTAATATATTTATAAAATATATTAAAGAAAGAAATTAAATAGGTAATCGATAACTTACTGATAGTTCCAAGTCGAGCGGTGAGGTCGCCGACGTCACACCGCAACGGATTGTCCGCGCCACACTCTTGGTTGTACAAGTCGTGCTGCAAATATTTATGAGGAGATTTCCAAATTGTCTGTATTTTGAAGTAGCTTCAAAAATTAGTGTTCAACTTATAAGATTTTTTTTGCTATTTTTCCCTGATTCTGGATCGAGTTTTACAATTGTTATTGTAGTCGAAAGGTTTCACTCCTGTGTTAGTCCCATACTAATTTAATAAGCAATTTTTATCGTGAAACAAACAACTGATTGATACGAATAAAAATCTACCTACTTGTAGACACACAATTCCGCATTTATAAATCAAATTAGAATTTTAACCTAATGTATCTATAAAACATCTCGTCGTTCTCTGATCTGTTCATATCATTAATTCAACTCACATTAAGCGGATCCGCCAGCTGCGTGAAGTAAGGGTTCCAGCGGTAGCCACCGGCGACGCACCGCGTGTTGGTCACCTTCACCGCCGCGTCCACGCCCACTGGGTTCACGAAGATGTTCCAGTTGTGGTTCATTGTCTACACAACAGATACAATTTCAGTACTCCGAATGTTGACGGAGTAAAAAAATGCCACTACTCTTTTTAGTTCTCAGAATTAGGGGAACAAAGCGGAATAAAGTAATGCAATTACTTCTACTCGTAAACGCAAGAGACAGAAAACTCAAAATAATTCACAAGCCAAAAAATCCGCCTGGCCAATATGATTATAGATAGTTATATACTCTTCCAACCATATTGTCGCGGCATAGAATAGGCCACCCATTCCTTTCCCGTGGGTGTCGTAAGATGCGACTAAGGGAGGTCAAAGAATAGGCAGCAGCGTCCTTCTTAAAACATCTCCAAAGCCTAACTACTGGCAAAATCCCAAGAGGGAAAGGCTGAGGTTCGTCAGTGGATAGTTAAAGGCTGATATGATGATGATCTTCCATGAAATCCTCCATGGAAGGGTATCTTCCATAGAGAGATAAAGACACCTATACCCGGAAGTGAGACATTAAAGGACGGTTATGATCATGATACATAAGTACATTCTTTAAATACCAGGGAAAGCAAACATCCATTTTATGGTTCCTGTCTACAGGCAACGGTAGAAACTTTTCATCAAGTGGGCCGTCACCGTGTTCGTCATTTAAAATTTTATAAAAGTCATAAATACACAACTTACAAGATTCCTGTCTCTAACGCCGGGATGCCTTAATTTGACCTCTATGACTGTGTCGCTGGCACTGCCGTCGTTATGTATGAGCTGCGTCATACGAATGTACCCGTAGGCGAACCCGCCAGGATGGTGGAACGAGGCTATTGCGCGCAGCTCCCTGGCTTCAGATGGGCTGTACCCACGCTCGATGGAGGAACACGCCCAGCGCCTGTCGCGACTCTGTTCGTGCAATCGTAGATTTTGATTAATACTTCTAATGTCACAATAATTTAAGATCACCTTAAAAATAAGCTGAACACACACAGACAACGGAAATTGGTAACTGTTGCTTATAACTATAGAGATATAGCAGGAAATCTTTACTAAAGATTTTTGTTTAGACTCCTACGAAAAACTTGAATTTCTTTAAAAGATCCTTAACAAGACCTATCTACATACATGCTGTATTATGCATACTACAAAAAGGACACGTTGACGTGTCCTTTTTTCTTGAGAAAGTGCTCATTTTTAAAGTCGCTTAAATAGTCACATTCTTGTGCCTACCTTTTTGTGGAAAGCGACAGACCTCCCAATGATGCTGTAGGGGCCATACAACGTGATCTGGGTCTCGTTGTAGGTGGTTGTGAAGGTACGTGCGTCTTCCAGTAAACCATACTTGTCGCCTAAATCTCCCAGCTCATATTGGTCAGCAGTACCTGCCAAAAAGACAATCATCTAGAGATGTATTAATAGATTATGAAGAAACCATAAGGAGATTGACAAAGGTGTATTTCTAGTTATTTTCAAAGGTATATATCAATTGCTAAGAATAACTGTGTAATCACTGTGGTTGAAGGGTCTTCATGCTCATTATCAGTGTTCACTGGTGCTTCGCCAGCGTAAACTAATAATGCAGTCTGGATTACTATTTCATTTGCATCCATTAAGGAAAACTATACCTTGGACAAAGTTATAGCACACCGACCTTTAGTTGGCGGCGGACTGAGCGACTTGTTCACATTGAAGGGATTGTATGTATCATAAATAGTTGTTTTCTCGCAAGGAAATTCTAGCTCCCGCTCTACGGGTACCTGAAACAAATAACTAGCTTTTATTTAAAATTTCAATATTTAAAAAAATAAAGTCTCTAATCAAAAATTATGGAAATCCTCGGTATAGGACTGAAAGTTATATTTGAGTATGTTGTTGGTAAAAGAACCACCAAAGGAAAACTCTTGGGATGGGATTAATATGTTTAGCATGTTGATAAAATATTATGCCTACATCATAAGTACATACAATGTTAAGCCTTCTAAATAACCTATACTCGTATGTATATTTCTTACACGAGTAAAGCAAGTCCCTATAACCAGTATCCGAAACAACCAGTGGTCTTTTTTATACAACTTAGAATGGCAAACAAGCTGATGGTCCACCTGATGAAAAATGGTAACTATCGCCAATGAACATGAACAATACCGTGGACATAACAGAGTATGTAGCCCATGATACCCCTCAAGAGTTGTCATTCATGAGGACTAAGATGTTATTCCTCTGTATCCTGTAAATTCACTGTCATATCCCACCCTTCAAACCGAAACACAGCCATGCAAACACAACTGCTTCCTGGTAAAAACAGGAATGGAACAGAGGTTTGGGCACCTTGGGCAAACGAGTTTTACGCGCACTTTATCTAGATTCATAGATGATTCCATTGGCCTTTTGGAACTTTTGGAAAAAGTTCTTTAGACTGTAGTACGCCCTAACAAACATCTCTACAAATTACACTTACCGGATGTATTTTATAATTCTTGACATCGTCGAGCCCCTCGAGTGTGACCTGCACGTTGGTGACGTCATACTCCGACTGCTGGATCATCTCGATCTTGCCACGGAGTGCCACCTCATCGCCGTTTCCGAACCAGTCACGAACTACCGCCTTACGACGGTGAAGGCCACTTACACTGTCGATCAAAAATTGTTGTTCTTTTCTTTATTCTTGATTCGCCACTTGGATTGGTTGATTCTAGGATCTAAGTACGTCCTTTGATTTAGCTACATTGATACTGATACTCTTGATCGTTATTGCATTGATAAACCTTGTACTCTTTATACAAATAAGATGGTTTGACTAACAGGTAAACTTATAAAAAGTTAACTCTAGTAAACTCTAAGAAATACTCGTTTTGAAGTTTTATTGTTAATCCATCTTTTTTAACTGGTGCCACGAACGTCGACAATTCGCGCTCAGGACCGAAGTGCGTAGTCAGACTCGTGCTTGTGTCACGGTCGCTCGTAACTAAGCGTTCTGGATAATTCTGAATCTATTCGAGGTTTCTTGACTAAAATACACGTAAATTAATCCAGCTTTACTTAAAATGTTTTAACTTGATAAACTTTATCACACTATTAAATTCAGGTCCCTAGAATATGGCCTACTATTACCAAGTTGGTCAAGTATCTTAATATAGCGCTTAATTTCAACTTTTTCTTCCTTTACACTTCTTACAACATTGTAGGGATCAAAAGGAGTGATGACACATGGAGATAAACTTTTAACGAAACTAACTTATTAAGCGCCAAATACTAAGTTGTTATCGTGTTTACAGAAGACTAGACCTTCCAACAAAATACCAACAAGCCTACAGACATATCCCATAACAAGTAATGCAATGCTTTACCTAATAATTGACTTTTAAATGAATTCTTACATAGAACAAGCCATCCGTTCGCCCCTTGCGACTGGTCCGTGATCATCGTAGATAACCAGAGATTTCTTCATGATGGAGTACTTCCCGGACAAACCGATCACCGTGTCAGTGAACAGTCTTCTGGTGAGCCGTGCGCTGTCCATCTTCTTGCCTGCCACTGACAGTACACCGTGTCTGAAATGATAGATATTCGATACAAAAACTGATTTCAATAAAAACATACCTTTGTGTGTGTGTGTGTGTGTGTGTGTGTGTGCGTGCGTGCGTGCGTGCGTGCGTGCGTGCGTGCGTGCGTGCGTGTGTGTGTGGAGAATTAAATGTACATACATCGATCCAACGAAATATGTTTTATTTTCTTGCTTATTGTGCTTGTGTATTGTGTTTTATTTATTTATTTATTTACAAGAAACATGGTAAGTGTATAGATGTTACAATAAGTTACTCCCTTATTCGCCCGTTACAATTAGGTGGGCCATCAAATTGTTTAATTCAACTTGTCAAGTTCCAAGTCACAAGCGGGAAAGGGGATTGTTAGTAATGGGGTCGCCTGTCTCGTTCTTAGCAATACACCCCATCAGGTCGACCTCTACGTGGTTCCCCTGGAAACCGTCGTGGTTAATTCTATGGAATTGGTCACAATGAGCTAACTGACCTGCTTTCATCGTCACCTATCTTCACCCGCTGATGTCCTGTCAGCTTATACCGATAAAAAAATCCAAGATACATAAAAAAAATCCTACTATCAATCTATATGTAAGGATCAGGCATGGGATAGAGCTAGTTGAAAGAAGATGCATGAATTAGTTGAACCGACAAGAGGAAACTCCTAAATGAAAAAAAATCAGTCTGTAATTAAATAACCTAATAACTCACCTCGTGGTGAAATCTCCTAGCCTGCACAGACCCTCGAGCCCCATCCTGCAGTACTGGTCGGGATGCCTGGTGTCGATGTCTATACCGTGTGGCTCGTACACGTTCCCCGCGCTCAGACACCTGCCCGTCCAGTTGTAGTAATCGGCTCCTGGTGGCCGCTCGTGTATAGCCCACCGGTGCTCGAACGTATTGTTCACCGTTGCACCGTCAGCATGTACCTGCACAGTCATTGCCAAAGATGAGGAACAAGAAGTAAATGGAATGGTAACCCTATTGTATATTAGGCTAGCGGGCTACTAATGTTGGGTGATACGTGAGTGATAAAGGTAGTTTTTTTTTATGGGTGAAAACGGAATGGTAACCCCGCCTGTGCTAACAGGATATGCTGGCGGAGCACCAGTGAAGAGTGATCGATGAGAATGAAAACAGGCCAGTTAGCCCATCATGGCGAATTCATCAGGAATTAACCATGATAGTTTCCAGGAGGATCCGCGAGGAGGTCGACCTGGTTGGGTATATTGCTAGCAATGGGATTCTCAGTCTCCATTACTAACAATCCCTTTCCCCCTGATAAAGTCAGTCACCTGAGTCCTCAGGAATGGCAACGCATGGGGGGTATCATGGGTGAAACAGTATACTCTGTTATGTCCATGGTACTCTCATGTCTATCAGTTTCCATCAGGTGGGCCGCCAGCTTGTTTGCCATTCTAAGTTGTATAAAAAATTATAAATTATAAATAATACGTAGACAATTACAAGAGCAGTACAGTATATCCAGTGATAATTTAGATTTAAGCATATAGCGACTTCGACGTATGTTCCCGGCATAGAATAGGCCACCCATTCCTTTCCTATGGGTGTCGTAAGAGGCAACTAAGGGAGAGCGAGTGATAGGCAACAGCGTCCCTCTTAAAATATCTCCAAAGCCTAACTGCGGTTGCCAATCCGCCTGCCAAGCATGGCACCTACTGGCAAAACCTCTCAAAAGGGGAAGGTTATGTTCAGGAATGGACAGTTAAAGGCTATATAGGATATGATGATGATGCAGCGACTATTGCTACTTCTCGTCGAGCGGACTGTGTGCTTGTTTGCCACTCTCAGTTGTATAAATAATAAAACTGTGAACAAGAATGCGTACCATGCTCTCTATGATAATGGTGGTGTCTTCCCATGGGCGGCCCAGTGGCTGCCTGAACACCACCCTACCCACGATGGGATACCGGAATATCACCTCGGCGGAGCTCAGCTCAGTCTGGTACTCGGTGCCATACTCATACGGCAGGATCGTACCGCATATCTCGCGTTTTGGTGCTCTCCTGAATTCATACAAATAAAATTTAAAAACTGCTCACGACTGTAATACAAAATGGAGTAATTAGAGGCACTAATGAACACTCGATATATCCACATTTCCCTGAGTATATTTGAACCCAACGTAGCAGGGGACGAGCTGTCACTTGGATTAATAAAATGATGGAAAAAATGTAGTTCAACTTGATAAATCTAACCATACACAAGTACTATAGGAACCTTACCTTGTCAAGACCATCCCTCTGTGCAGAACACTGTGTACCCCTTGCAGTGGCAGGAACACGTCCCAATAGGCGCCACTCAGCTCGTTGGCCAGCCCAGGCAAAAGATACTTGTGGTTTAGGTACTCAGTACGGTCCTTATACTTGCCGAGAAGGTCCCCTATTGGATACTGATCCTGTGTGCCCATACCTGTTTATAAATTCAATTTGAATATTTCATAAGTAACATCACTATCAGCATCATCAATAGTAGCAATCATTTTCATACATAATTCAAACGTACTTTTATACTATGTCCCGAGAATAGTACAGCCCATGGAAAACAGGTATCAAATATATTTCCACACGATTTCCCCTGAAAGCCATTGTGGATTATTCCTATCGAATTCATCACGTAAACCCAGTTGACCTGAATTAATCCTCGCCTATCATTCCTCTATCTATCATCCATCGCCGAGTGTGCCCCGACATAGAATGGGCCACCCCTTCCTTTCCCGTGGGTGTCGTAAGAGGCGACTAAGGGAGGACGAGAGAGGAGCAGCAGCGTTCCTCTTAAAACATCTCCAAAAACTAACTGCGGTTGCCATTCCACTTGCCAAGCGTAGCAACTACTGGCAAAACACCCCTAATGGAGAAGATTTATGTCTAGCAGTGGACAGTTAACGGCTAGAATATCATCCCACAATGTTATTCCATCATACCATTAAACCCCATGGAAATCTTTTGGGCTCTGACAAAGCAGCCACTCCTTCATAGTAATAACTAGCATAGAGAGGGGGGAAAGGGATTGTTAGTAATGGAGACTGAAAATTCCATTGCTAGCAATATACCCACCCAGGTCGACCTCTCCGCGGTTCTCCCTGGAAACTGTCATGGTTAATTCCTGATGAATTCATCATGATGGGCTAACTGGCCTGTTATCATTCTCATCTATCACCCTTCACTGGTACGCCAGCGTATCCCGTTAGCGCAGGCGGGGTTACCATACCATTTTCACCCAGCAAAAAAAAACTAGCATAGAGAACTTTCTTACACTGTGCTTACGCCATGAATAAGATGACATCAACCATTTCTACATCGAAGTTTATTAATACATTTTTACTGTTTTTTTTAAAAAAACACCAAAAACTACACAAGTGCATAACGAATAACACAATGTCTAAAGTCTCGTATACATATTAAAAAAGTATCCCAAAAACTAAAATCAGTGCGTGGACACGATAACGGTCGGAAATTGTAGGCTAATATGAAAGATTGTAGTAATAGTAGTTAACCTTCGAGAGTTGGCAGTCGCACGCATACTAATGGTAGCGGAATTACAACGAAATGATTTTTATTTTAATCAATTAAAATTAAAAAAGTATAAAAATAATAATTATAGTAGCTACTAACAGAATTTAAGAAACACTTCTTGATTCGGGAGAATCATGTTTCATAAGTATAACACGATTTTTATTCACGTTTATTTATTGATACTTTATTGTATAAAAAATTACATTATTGTAATTTTTTTATACAACTTAGAATAGCAAACAAGCTGACGACCTACATGATGGAAAGTGGTAACCGTCGCCTAAATAGACATGAACAGTAGTAACCATGGTATATATATATATATATATATATATATATATATATATATATATATATATATATATATATATATATATATATATATATAACAGAAGTATACTGTTTCGCCCATCCCCATAGCCCATCGGGGTATCCCCATGCGTTGCCATTCCTAAGAACTCAGATGTTATTCCTCTGTACCCAGTAAATTCACGCTATATCCCACCCTACAAACCGAAACACAGACATGCAAACACAACTGCTTTACGGTTGCAACACGAATGGGACAGAGGTACCCAAGCAAACGACTTTTGTACAAAGTCTCCCTCTGGTGATTGATTGATTCCCTTGATTTTACTGACACATGATCTTCAGTCTATTTTCGTCCTAAAGTAAGAGTTGGCAGAGAAAACCAAATGCCAATAGCATCTATCAGGGATTGATAAAACAACAATAATGAATCGCATTTTTTTACTTCAACTGAGCCAAACATTCTGTATTCTGCCAGAAAAGATAAATATAGATCGCGAGCAGCTTTTACTGTATGATCTCTTAAATATATATTATTTAATTAAAAAATAAATAGGTAATTAACAATTTATTGTAATGCCATAAGCCATTATAACAAACTCATTAATCCAATAACAGTTGTTGATTCTGCGAGCAGCATCTAACAATTCGAATTCCACAATGTGACGCATACAAGATACCAAATGTAAACAGTTTTGATCCGCAGTGGACTGGACGAGAGCCAGACTGGCCGAGATAGATGTTCTGGACATACGATATATTGGTATGCTGCTTTTGTTGGATACAGAATGACCTACATAATATTATTTTACATATATACTGATTTTTTATTTCAATATTTAACTAATTTTAATTGTCCAGGACAAATTGATGATATCTCTCTAGTTCTAACACAAAACAACAAAACGTGAGGTGTGTTTAAATATGAAGAGGTCAAGGTGCAACGTTTGATATAAAAGAGATATAAAAGACTTTCTATTCAGGAATTCAATTCAAATATTTAAAAGTATACCAATGCCGCGAGAAAAAGTATTAATTAGGATAAAAAGTAAATTAAACACATTAAAATTAGGATATTAATTTCCGAAACAAAATTCTGATCTGGCTTACATTATAAGTTCTTATGATATCAGTCGTTAACTGCCCATTACTAAATATAGGTCTCTCCCTTAAGAGTTTTATCAATAGCACACAAACACTTAGCAGGTGGGTAAGTTACAGTTAGTAAAAGGGGCACTACTGTCCATCTCTTGACGATTAAGTTCCTTTAGTCATCTCTTACAACACTTACGGGAAAGGAAGGAACGATCCATTCTATATCGAGACCACACAATGAACAGCTAAAACACCATGGTACCCCTGGAAAAACGCTGGAGATCATGGGTTCTGATAATAAATCGACTATAACACCTGCAGATACCAAAAAAGACCTAGAAGAGATAAATAAGAGCTAAGATTATGATATACCAGTAAATACCATATTCAATTACCTGGAGGAGGAACATTATTCAAATCAATACCACTGGGATTGTAGATCCCACCAGTGGTATTGCACACGTGGTTCACGTGACTGGCATCCAGAAGCTTAGGCGGGAGTTCTCTCACGCTGTACTGCACCATGGAACTGACGAAACGCAAGTTGGACTCATAATCCTGGTCCGCAGCTCCTAGTTGGAAATTTGCCCATGTCGGATCGAATGGTGATCGTTGCGTGAAGTCTACAGTCCCTCGAATGCCGTCCGTGTTTATAAGAGCTCTGAAAAGGAACTTATTTAAATTAACTTAAAAAATAAATAAATTATGATCGCATTCCACAAAAAACCGACTTCAATTGTAACCAAACCAGTTATTTGGATTTAAAAACTAAATAACTGAACCAATTTCGATAAAATTTCTTTGAGATTTCTAAGTAAATCCTTTCAGATAAAAAAATAAGTTTCCAAATCGATTTATAACTAACGGAGTTATGAGGTAACAAACAAAAAAAATACAACCGAGATGAGAAACTCCTATTTTTGTTGTAGTTGAAAATACATAAAAATTTTAAAGAAAACCTTTTTTGTGGTAGATACGAGATGTGGTAGATACCTGTTTCGCTACACCTTTTATATTTTTTATTAAAATAAAACTTACTTGGTGCTTTTGGGTTCCATCGGTCTCAACTTGGCACACGCTAAGTAACTATCCGGATGTCTATTGTCATAGATCACCACGTATAAACTTCTCTTCGTCACCTCCATGTCACTCCTCAACACATTCAACACATCATTCTTAAATAACGTCTTTACTTTCCTCCTATTAGCGTCAGTAGCAACTTTCACAAGACCCAAACGACTGTCTAAATCTCCTACACTCATACCGTCTCCACTATTATCAGGATCGAATATAAGCTGAAGAATATTACAGTTATCTTCACGGATTCGTCTATCAGAATCAAAAATGTCAGTCACAAATAATTTCCATTTGTGTTCAGTAAATTCCACCTTATCAGGAATTGCTTTCGTATGATATAAATCAGCCTGGATATAAGAATCTGATTCGTCGAACTCCCTCGCTGATAACCATCTGAAATTCAATGTTCCAGCCACGGGAGATGTGAATCTAGCCACAGCATGTTTCTCAAACAATTTGTCAGTGGACAAAATAGATGCGCAAATAACTCGATCTCTTTCTGCAGTCTCAAGAACTACACTCTTCCCCCAAAGACCATTAGGCCCTGTTAAACTATTCTGACTTTCAAATTCTGCGTGATCTTTTCCCGGAATTATTAAGTATCCAAGTTCTTCTGTCAAATCAATTAGCTCCTTGCCTAAACTGGCCTCGGAACATCGAGCATCGGATACATCTCTGTAATCTACTGGGAATTCGTGAATTGTCCACCGCCAAACTCCATCCGGATATTGCAAGGTCGGCTTAAGATTTGTTCTGATGCTGATCAAGGTGTCATTTTTGTGTGAGAATTCAATTTCTCCATGAAGTCCGTGTTGCGATATGTATGCACGCAAAACGAGAGCATTTGCCGCATCTACAAAGAATAGGGTCCATGTATTTTTTTTTTAATTAATGATAATGAAATGGTAACCCTGCCTGTGCTATCGGTATACACTGGCGGGGCACCAGTGAGCGGTGATAGGTGAGGATGAAAAGGCAGATCAGTTAGCCCATCGTGACTAATTCAATGATAAATTAGTCACGACAGTTTCCAGGGGGAACCACATGGAGGTCGACCCGATAGGATATATCGATAGCAATAGGGACTAACCTCCTCATTATTAACAATCCCTTCCCCCCAGGGTCCATGCATTAGAACCATGTATAAAGTTGTAAATAAAAATTTGTTAAACTAGCTAACAAACACGAATCCCCGATAGCCTGCTAAAAACTACTGTATGATAATGTTTTTATTTACTTATTTTTCAAAACCAGATGTTGTAAGAAAAAGTAATATTTGTAAATCATCATCATTGCCATTTGATCCCGGCATATAATAGAACCACTCCTTCCTTTCCCGTGGGTGTCGCAAAGACAACTAAGGAAGAGCAAGCGTCCCTTTTAAAACATCTCCAAAGCCTAATTACAGCTGCCAATCCGCCTGCCAAGCGTGGCAACTACTGAGAAACATCCCCAAGAGGGAGGCTTATAGATAGACAAATAGATACTCTTTATTGTTTCCTCCAAAAGATTACAATAGTAAACTTATTATAAATATAAACAATTACAGGAAATAATCACAGTGAGAAAACAATGGGCGACCTTATCGCTATAAGCGATCTCTTCCAGCCAACCTTTGGATGGAGAGAAGTAATTATAAACTTATGTTCAGCAGTAGACAGTTAGAGGCCGACATGATCACTCCATCTAATGGGTGGTCGTCCTTTACTGCGTTTATTTGTGAATAATCATAAATAAATAATCATAAATTTTATTAACATAATAAATCCTACTATGTAATATAATAAAATTGTAACTATATGATGTCTTTACATTAAAGACATTTGGGGTATCATGAGTGAAACATACTCTGTTATGTCCATGGTACTGCTCATGTGTATAGGCGATGGTTACCACTTTCCATCAGGTGGGCCATCAGCTTGTTTGCCATTCTTATTTGCATAAAAAAAAATTTACCCCGGGAATCGAACTTGAGAGATCTGGAAATCAAGGTCGAAGCGATATTAAACAGTGATGTATGGCATAGTTTAGTCAGTAGATATATATATATATAATATATATATATATATATATATATATATATATATATATATATATATATATATATATATAATAATCATAACATGGCAACTTTCACGTAATATTATTAATCATCTAACAAAATACAAACACCTATTTTTTTTAATGGATGATAATGGAATGGTAACCCCACCCGCGCTATCGGTATACACCGGCGGAGGACCAGTGAAGGATGATAGGTGAGGATGAAGCAGGTCAGTTAGCCCATCGTAACGAATTCAACAAGAATTGCTCACGATGATTTCCAGGGGGAACCAGGTGGAGGTCGACCTAATAAGGCATATTGCTAGCAATGGAGCTGTCAAACCCCATTGCTAACAATCCCTTTCCCCCCACAAACACCTACTACATACAAACAAAGTGAGCCCAGAAACTTTCTACTCACCATAAAATAAAAACAATACGCAAACTAAGCAACTAAACTTTGGTATAACATGACTAACTTCACAATACATTTTCACTACAATTCAACTGATAATTTTATCACTAAATACTGTAAACATATACATTGCTAAGTTATATCCAAGTTAATGTCTAAGTTGTACACGACGCGTCGCATTGACTCACAAGTGAAAGGCAAGTGAGTACAACTTAACGAGCGAGACAGGTGTGTTAGACAGAGAGAACTGGTGTGACGTAGTTGAGGCCGTTGACTACTTGTTTGCCGGTATTTTGGTTAACTCGTTTCCTAAATACATCAGCAATTGTTTAATTGGACTGGACTATTTTATATTGTTTATACACGTAAATTTCACAGGCGACTCTATTACTAGTAATAGATAGATAGATAGATAATTTATTTGCATTACTTACTTACAGCACACAAATTACAACATACATATACAAAAAAAAGCGAAATAACATAAATGATTAAAAAAAATACATAAAGCCAAATACAATTTTTCGTTTGTGAGTGTGCCATAGCAAAACAAAATGGCCACAACTCAGTTTATTGCTTCGCCCTCAAAAGAGCAAAGCACTGATATTCTGTTGCGGCCAAAGGGAATAGGGTAACAATAAAACAATACCACCAGACTATTCATACAGGAAATAGACAGATATACAGTAAATAGATATATCGTATCAGATTGACCTTCACGCGATCCCCCTTGGAAACCATCATGATTAATTTCTGGCAATTTGATCACAATGGCCGTGTGGTCTCGGCACAGAATAGACCAGCTCTTCCTTTCCCGTAGGTATCGTAAGACGCGACTAAAGGAGTTTAATAATCGAGGGACTCGCAGCAACGTCCCTCTTAAAACATCTCTAAAGCCTAATTGTGTGGTAACCAGTGAAGGGTGATAGATGCTTTCATCCCTCACTGGTGTCTTGCTAATGTATACCAATAACCCAAACAGGGTTACAGGGGGAAAGAGATTGTTAGTAATGGAGACTAAAAATCCCATTGCTAGCAATATACCCAACCAGGTCGACCTACTCGCGGTTCCTTCTGGAAACTATCATGGTTAATTCCTGATCAATTCATCATGATGGGCTAACTGACCTGTTTTCATTTTCATCGATCACTCTTCACTAGTACCCCGCTAGCATATACCGTTAGCGCAGGCGGGTTTCCCGCCATTCCATTTTCACCTATCAAAAAAAACGGGTTTACAATTCTATTTTCACTCATTAAAAAAATCCAAGAGAAAACAACTGAATTAGGTCATAATAACTTTGTACCTGTCAAACAAGCAGCATGGTTACACGCTGTCTTCTCGTTTGAAGAGTATTTTACATACTCAAATGAAATTATAAGCTCCCATATCCTCGGTGTATGATGTAAGTTACATATAATATAATGCATTTATAAATGTTGTGAGCAAGGGTGGACTTATCTCTGACAGAGATCTCTTCCAGTCAACCCGATGCAGTTAGAAAGCATGTCGTTTGCGGGCAGCTGAAGTGCTACAACTATTAATATATAAATATAGTTAAATAATTTATAAAATATATAATAAAATATTATATATAAATATAATATATTATATATAATATATTATATATAAATATAATACCTACCTACTTATATAATAAATGTTAAAATAAATGAATATACTACTTTCATTAGAAATTTAGTTTAATGATTTTAAGATTTGACAGTTCAATTAGAACTATAAAAAATTATAACTCAAGGTAAAGAAAATGTGATTTCAACCTTTTCTTGAAAGAGGTAATTAAAGGACTCTCTTGTATGTGAAAAGGGAGTTTGTTCCATAACTGGGCAGCTCGATACGAGAAAGAGTTGCCCATAAAATGTGTTCTACACAAAGGAACTTCGAGCATTCTGGACTGAACTTGACAGGAGCGTTTAGGACATTTTAGTCCTTAGCAATGATATGATCCATTGATAACACAGTGTTTTCTGTAGTGTCCATTTTGTCGTCCTTATTCATAGCCAAAGGAAAAGAGATTCTTTATAAAGTAGATCATAAGTTTGTTTTCCATTCTCTATATATATAATATATGAAGTTGAAGAATTTGTTTGAACTCACTTATCTCCGAAACTAATAAAATTTCCCCATTTGAAAAATTCTTTTTTTTCGTTTGACAGTTTATTTTTTAAAGACTATACAGACTTTTCAACGTCACGATGCAACTAAATAAATATATAAATAAACATGTTATATAAGAAAAATACGATATATTGCGAATCGAAGTGAAATTCCACCGGTGTGGATTACAATAACCTAATTTCAGTGTTCATGAGTCAAGCGGCTGAAAATAAAACGTGCGTGTGCGCGGGGCGGGCTAACTGCGCGGGCGGCGACGGCGGCGTCGATAACGCTGTCAATCTATATTAACCATATGAGAGGCTCGATTTAGCGACAGCTATTGATTGGGAGTGATCGGGACAGGCCCTAACATGTGACTGCTGGGGGGAAAGGGATTGTTAGCAATATATAGAGTTTAACAGCCCCAATTACTAGCAATATAGGGTATATTGCTTTATCAGGTTGACCTCCATGTGGAAACCTTCATTTTCCTACCCTTATTCCAATTATTGTAAGAAACCGTAGTTGTAAGAAGCCATCAAGCACGTCTAACAAAGATTGGTATACTTACAAAATTGTTCTGGTAATGGATATCCACAATTGATAACTGTCCACTGCTGAACTTAAGCTTCCCCCTTGGGGACTTTTGTCAGTAGTTGCCATGCTTGGCAAGCAGATTAGCAACCGCAGTAAGGTTCTGGTGATGATTTAAGAGAAACGTTGCTGTCCATCCCTCGATTATTAAGTTGCCTTAGTCGCCCTCTTACGACACCCACAGGAAAGGAAAAGGCGACCCAATCTATGTCGGGACCACACAGCAGGATACCCATATACATGTATTCAAACAGATGCAGCAACTACATTAAATTCAATGCAGTAAAGCCTAACTCCGGATAAATTTCAAGTTGGAATTTCGAAATAAAATCTATATTAAAAAAAAGTTCAAAGAATTAACAAAAATAGCACTTGTGATGGTATTTTCAGAAGGGTGTATGGTGGGGCGATGTCAATAAATAAGTTCAGTAAGATCAAGGCAAATCCATGTCTGTGGAGTTGTAATATGGTTTAATTTGCCTGAACTGCAGAGACTTTATTAGATTTTATTTAATTTATATATTAATCAACCTCACTTTATGGACACACATTGTTATAGTATCTTTCATACATACACTTGCATTACTTACATACACCCACTCTCACTTACCTGTCTTCCTTTAGAATTATAATTTTCATTTATATAATTAAAAATCTGTTATTAGCTGTATTTACAAGAGACTTAGCATGTAAGTTATTTTTAAGAGCTGTGGATTTTTGTATTAAATGAATGAATTAATAATCCAATACAAAAACACTTTAGTTAGTAACTTCTTCATTATTAAAATTACAAAAAAAAATCTTTATATTAAATTTATCTACTAGTATGATTGCGTTCAATAAATTAATAAAGTTTAATTTGTATAAATCTTTAAATTCCTTTTTAAATTTTGTAGATACTCAGCGACTTTGTCAGAGTCATTCTACATTGTAAATATTATGTCTCCATATAGATTTTGCTTCATAACAAACAGTTTCTTGCTCCAGAAAGAAAAACGATAGCTGCAATTGTCAGTAAATTAAATAAACACACAAGTTTTTATTTTCTAATGTTGAGATATCGGAATGGTAATCCCGCATGCGTTATCAACATACGCTGGCGGGGCACCAGTGAGGGATGATAGGTGGCAATGAAAAGACAGGTCAGTTAACCCATCATGACGAATTTTACAAGAATTAACCATAATGAGCCGCGTGCATGGCAATAGAGCTGTTAAATACCCATTATAAACATTTCCCCCCGTCACAGGTCACCTATCATTTTCAAAACTAATTGTATAAAACAGTTTAAAATTGGCGACGTAATCACTTAACCTCATCTAACACGGTTACCACAGGGTATGCCGCATTCTTGGTTACCCCCTGTGTTATAAAGAAAAACATAATTAGGAAAAAATCCGACAAATAGCGAACCTCTTTTAGGATATTTAAGTGTCCGTTCTCACAGACTAGCTCTAAGAGGAAAACAAATTTTGATCACATTTAAATTGAAATTTTAACGTCATTGAAATAAGATTAATTTTTACAATCAAATTATTTTAAAATGCCAACAAAATCTGCTCTCCTCTCCGAGCCTTTCTGTATAAACGAACACTAAAAATATGCAAGGACTTGTTTTCTGTGAGGTGAATCAATGTTAAGCATTAAAATCTAAATTGTTTTTTTTTTTTTTAATTGATATCTGTTTTTAAGTAAATACGACATGATACGATGATAGAAGAAAAATTTTTTTTACAACACAGGGGGCAAACGAGCATACGGCTCATCTAATGGTAAGTGACTACCGCCGCCCATGATCACCCACAACACCAACGGCATTGAAGGTGTGCTGCCGGCCTTTTAAAAAAATATTAAATTGTGATACAGCTTGACTCCTTCTTTGTATGGAATCGCATAATACATGTAAGAATTATTTGGACGGTCGTATTTACCGAAATTTCCTTTTTTTATGCAATTAAGAATGGCAAACAAGCTGACAGCCCACCTGATGGAAAGCGGCAACCGTCGCCTATAGACATGAACAATAGCATGGACATAATATAGTATACTGTTTCCCCCCATGCGTTACCATTACTGAGGACTCAGATATTATGCCTCTGTAACCTGTAAACTCACTGTCATATTTATATACCTTTTAAGTCGAAACAGTCATGTAAACAGAACTGTTTTACGGTAGAAACATGAATAGGACAGTGGTAGCCAAGCAAATGAGCTTTTTACAAAGTCTTTCTCTGGTAACATAAATCTCCCAAAATATAATAAACAAATAAATCATTTATCTGTCAATTTAAACATTTCAGGGCTTTGCCAAACCCTTATCTTGCCAAAAAGTACACTTCTTTATACGTATTATACGTAGATACATACGTTCGAAAGCAATGCCAACTTATAGTTTAAAGGCATCCGAGTATTACTACCAGATAGTGACGGCAATCGTCACCCATAACTTATGATAAAACACGAACTCATAATAAAATATATACATTAACATAAATATCCCTTTCCTTCTTAATTTTGTAGGTGGTAGAGCCACGCTGTAATACCATATGGTATTGCAGCATGAATGGGCCGGCTCGACCGGGGAAGTACCACACCCTCACAGAATACCGACGCTAAGTGGCCGCACTTTTAGTGCGACCACATTCCGTATGGTGAGTGAGGGAGTCCGGAGGCCCATCCTATACCCATCCCCTTCCTTATCCTAAAATCCTCCCCCAACTCCGTCCCCCCATCTTTCAATACCATGGCAGTGGAATTTAAAAAAAATAACGTACCCCAGGGAGGTACCAGCAGCCATGTTGCTGGAGAATCCTCCCTCGAGCAACCACGCTCGGGCTGCCCTGCGTATTCTGGGGGGGCAAAATTCCGCTCTATGGGACCAAGGGCAAACAGAGCAAGACTTCTGCGGCATCCCCTTTGCTCAATGTGAGCCTCTGTAATATTAGGGGAATTCATTCAAACCTGAACGCTGTCCACCACCACCTAGAAACGGCGCGGCCGGCATTGCTCTTCCTCACGGAGACACAGATATCCCCTCCTAACGAAACATCATACCTGACCTACCCGGGGTATAAGCTTGAACATTGTTTTGTTTCGCGTGCCGGTGTATGTGCGTATGTCAGAGAGGATATCTGCTGTCGACGCCTTGGGACTCTTGAAGGTACGGACCTGTCCATTCTATGGCTGCGCGTAGATTGCAATGACCATCCCCGCATCTATGCGTGCCTATACAGGTCCCACAGCGGTAACACTGAAACCGACCAACTAATTGAGCACGTCCAAATGGCTACAGATTCCCTGCTTGAGCAGATTCCTTCCGCTGAAGTCGTGATTGTTGGCGACTTTAATGCCCACCATGCCGAATGGCTTGGTTCGCGTACAACCGACTATGCGGGAAGATCTGTTCATGACTTTGCTTTGGCTTATGGTCTGACACAGCTTGTTTCCTCGCCTACGCGAATCCCTGATGTGTTGGATCATTCACCTTCACTGCTGGACCTTCTGCTGACCACCCACCCAGACAACTATGTGATCTCCGTCGAAGCCCCGCTTGGATCGTCGGATCACTGTTTGGTGCGGAGCGAAGTGCCTCTTACGAGTCCGACTCCACCTCGTTCTACGGGTAGACGTCGCATTTGGCACTACAGGTCGGCGGATTGGGATGAGATGCGGATTTTTCGCATCTTACCCATGGAGGCAGGTTTGCTTCACACTGGATGATCCCGACGCCATTGCCGATTCCATTGCTGATGTGGTGCTTCAGGGAATGGAATTATTTATTCCTAACTCTGTGGTGCCCGTCGGCGGGAAATCCCAGCCCTGGTATGGAGCCTCCTGTAGAACAGCATCTCGTCTGAAACAGGAGTGCTTCCTAACCTGGGCTAAAGGTGTGGCGTCGCGAGATCCTAACACCAGTGCTCTTAAAAAGAAGTATAACTCTGCCTCTAGGTCTTTCAAAAGAGTTATAGCCACAGCGAAGTCAGAGCATATTAGTAGAATTGGCAAGAGACTGGCTAGTTTGCCCTCTGGGACTCGAGCTTTCTGGTCTCTTGCCAAAGCTGCACAAGGGAATTTCTGTAAGTCATCTTTTCCACCTTTGAGCAGGGAGGATGACTCGTTGGCCCAGAACGCTAAAGAAAAGGCCGATCTTCTTGGATCCATCTTTGCGTCAAACTCGACATTGGATGACGGGGAGAAACCACCACCGACCATCACGTGTTGTAGGAGCTCTATGCCTGACATTAAATTCACGCATAGCTCAGTGCGTAGAGCACTTTTCTCTCTCGAAATCCATAAGTCGAGTGGGCCTGATGGTATTCCTCCAATTGTGCTTAGGACGTGCGCACCAGAGTTGGCTCCGGTTCTTACGCGTCTTTTTCGGCTTAGCTACTCATCGGGCATAGTCCCAAAGTTTTGGAAGACTGCTCTGGTGCATCCGATCCCTAAAAAGGGAGATCGCTCAGATCCAGCTAACTATAGGCCCATAGCTATCACTTCCTTATTCTCGAAGGTTATGGAATCCATCATTAACCGTCAACTGCTCCGGTACCTAGAAGAGCACCGGCTGATCTGTGATCGCCAGTATGGCTTTCGACAGGGACGTTCGGCCGGTGATCTTTTAGCTTACTTAACACACCGATGGGCAGTGGCAATCGAGAGTAAGGGAGAGGCCTTAGCAGTTAGTCTGGATATTGCGAAGGCCTTTGATCGGGTGTGGCATAGAGCGCTGCTTTCAAAGCTACCTTCATTTGGGTTGCCTGCGAGACTGTGCATTTGGGTCGCCAGTTTTCTCAAGGAACGTAGCATTAAGGTCGTAGTCGACGGTGCATGCTCTGATTTAAAACCTTTGAATGCTGGTGTCCCGCAAGGCTGTGTACTATCTCCGACTCTGTTTCTTCTGCATATCAATGATATGTTACAGATAAGTAATATTCATTGCTATGCGGACGACATTACAGGAGATACATTATATACCGGTCATGCAAAGATCTCGCGGGCACATACCGATGAGTGCCGGAATAGACTTGTGTCTGAAATCGAAACTTCACTCCATCAAGTTTCGATCTGGGGTGAACAAAATCTTGTCCAATTTAACCCCAAAAGACACAAGTCTGCGCGTTTACCGCAAAAAAGACGCCGTTTGTCGTATCTCCTCACTTTCAGGGCACTTCCCTTGATAAAAAGTCAAGTCTAGGAATTCTGGGCGTTGATATATCTTGCGACGTCCAGTTTTGCGGTCATCTGGAGGAGAAGGCTAAGATAGCTTCCAAAAAGTTAGGAGTGCTCAATAGGGTGAGACGATATTTCATGCCAGAACACCGCCTGAAATTATATAAAGCCCAAGTCAGGCCGCATATGGAATACTGTTCTCACCTGTGGGCAGGAGCGCCACAGTACCAACTCCTTCCGTTAGACCGCATTCAAAGTCGGGCGGCTCGAATTATCGATAGTCAACGCCTTACTGTCCGACTTGACCCATTGAAACTGCGCAGAGATGTTGCGTCTCTGTGCATCTTCTACCGAATTTATCATGGGGAGTGTTCTGAGGAATTGTTCGGATTGATACCTGCTGCTGATTTTCACCACCGTACAACCCGCCACAAACTAAAGTTTCATCCCAATCATCTGGACGAGTGGCGGTCTTCCACCGTGCGTTTTTCAAGGCACTTTCTTCCACGCACAACCATTCTTTGGAATCAACTTCCAGCAGCAGTATTTCCGAACCGATACGACAACATAACCTTCAAGAAAAGAGTATATTCCTTTTTAAAAGGCCGGCAGCATACCTGCAATGCCGCTGGTGTTGTGGGTGATCATGGGCGGCGGTAGTCACTTACCATCAGGTGAGCCGCATGCTCGTTTGCCCCGTGTGTTGTAAAAAAAAAAAAAAAAAAAAAAAATTTATCTTATCCACTCTCTCCTGGTGAAGAACTGGACAAATTTATATGTACTTTAAAAATTTTACATATAGGTATATGTTTCTCTTTAGACTTACAAATATATATACCTGGAAAACGTCAATGTATTTTATCGAACCCTGACATTGGCAATATATCACCGTTTTCTCTACGTCTGGAAGCCATATAAAAAAAGAAGAAGAAAGAGAACTCATGGTAACAATTAAAATGGATGGAAATATTCAATTATCAAAACAATCCATTTTTGCCCCGCTACTAGGCAATAGGATATCTATTTCAATATTATGTCTATCTAGTATTTCAAATTACCAAACCAGTGAAATCTTAAAAATGTTGCCAAAGAACAGACTTTATCCGTCTTCTATAAAGGAGATTCCCAATTTTTGAAGAGACCCTGTTCCTTTTTTTAAGTTCGTTTAAAGTAACTTCTTCCACCTAAGCTCCGCTAATATGGTGTACATTTGTAAATCTATTATAAAAACGCTGCATTTCCTCGGCAACTTGTCCGTGACGGAGCAAGCGTCATCGTCAGCAACAGGCTGAAACTATAACAGTAGCTCAGGTGAGCCGGTTATTTTTATAAATACAAAAGCGAAGACGGCTTAGCCCACGAGCGGCCCGAACCGTTATGTTCCCGAATCAAACAGTACATATCTTATTTGTCGAACTAAATATGGAATCGCGTGCGCAGCGCCTCGAACCGAAAGGGGGGGATACTCCTGGAGCTCTGAGAGGGAACGAAGCTTCGGAGTCAGGGTGGGACTGCCGAGTCGATCAGTCTCTCCTTCGTCGATCGTCCAACACACAACAAAATGGTAAGTGCGGCACAGTGGACACGAGTGGTGACAGTACAGTGTTATGTGACGACAGTGTTGAAAAAAGTGATCGAGATGGAAAACAATGCGTCGGATGATAAATAGATACGGATAGCGATAACTTAACCTTAGAAGATGAAGCCATTGAACAATTTGTCGGTATTGATAAAGTTCTAAAAAGTAAAGACGGGTTATCGCGATGAACGTGTGGATTAAAACTTAAAACAAAGTAACAATTTCTCACTTAAATCTTCTTTAAAATCAGTTTACAAATAAACGAATCCGGTTTAAAAAAAATTAGGACGTCAATATAATAATATTATTAACGTATTGAATAAAACTATTGCTATTAACTTTTATATCGACTATAACTTTTGAGAATTTTAAATTTTGCATCGATTGTATGCCGGTTATTTCAAATAAATAAATCATAAAGAATAAAGTTTATCAATACAAGATAAGAATTAAAGTGCTATGCATTATATATCTCAAAATCTAAGTAATATACATCACTTATTAATTTAATAGTAGAAGACAGAAAACATCTAAAAATTTAAAAATGTGTCAAGATACAGTGAAGAGTCAGTACCCGCGGTGAATAGGAAAAAATCTACTTATTAGCCTTATAAAATAAAATGTGTCAATTCAATAAAGAAAAAATATTGAAAACATTTTAAAATATCATACCAGAGAATTCAAGAAAAATAAACTTTTCAAAGATACACAAAAAAAAACATCACAACAAGTTCGTGAGTTTTAAAATAATTGCTTATCGGAAATTAATTACGACAGTAAAATATATAAACTTATAGCAGTAAATGAAAATGGGGCAAATAATGATCTATTTATAAATTTACGTAACTGATGTTGGAGCAAGTCGAATGTAAGCGGACGCCGGGAATGTGCTAAATATAGAGGCGCTACCGGCCACGCCTAAACTGGATACAAGTGTTGAAGTATTCTCAATTTAGACCAAGATTGTTAGTTGCTATTGTGATTAGCAAATTATTTCATAGCTCCTAATCGTTTAATAATCGATCCCGTACAAAATAAAAAAAAGTATTTATAAATAGAACAATTTAAAAAATGTCGCTCAAGCAAATTAAATAATTTATTAACAATCGTCGTAATGTTATACGAAATATATGTACCACCATACCGACATAATAAGAAAAGAAACTACAACTTACAAGTATGTAAAATAAGTATCGCGAAAATGAGAAAACTTCCAGTACGCCTTAAAATGATATAGGTACTACACTCAAACAATAAATAAAATCTCAATGCCAAGTATTAGGTAATTTAAGCGAAAAATAATACTTACAGGCGGATAAGGATAAGAAAGTAAAGAAGAAGAAGGCGAAAGAAGACGCGCCTGCGGAAGAAGCCCCAGCGGCGGCGCCCGCGGCTGGCGGAGACAGGCAGTCATCACGTGGCAGCCGCAAGGCCAAGCGCACCGGCTCCAATGTCTTCTCTATGTTCTCACAGAAGCAGGTCGCCGAATTCAAGGAGGTAAGGAAACAAGAATTTTGCGCAACAGGCTAACAGCTACCCTGATGGAAAGTGGTAACTGATGCCAATAGACTTAAACTATGAAGATCACAGAATACACTTTAAGACCCACGGTCCCTCATGCTTTGCTAATCTGAAATTAAAAAGTTTACCAACGTAGTACCTGATAAATATACTACCACTTTGTGCCGAGTTAAAAATTAACTTAAAAATTATTCAGCATTCATTTTTCAAAGAAAAAAACTAATCGTTCTTGTCTTTGAGACATATTAGATGTAAAAATTTGAGAAACTAATAAACTTATTTTTGATTTTATTAGAGGTCCTGTTTGTGAAATCATATTTAAAAAATCGACGTACCTAGTTATCAATTATAGACTTAAATCAGTGGTGGAATAGTACTATTATTTTTATTGTGCTTTAATTAAGTTTATTGATCTGATTTAATTACTGAAAATTGATGTACTTGACCTGATTACAAGATGAATGCATTACGTCACATACCTAGTATCGCGTATTGTGTCAAGTGTAGCTCGTGCCGGCTACGTTCATCCGTCTGTTTACTAAACAATAACCGTGGCTATTATTTTGATTCCTCAAATACTTCTGTTCTATATTAAACTTTGCAAAGAACTCAGAAGTACTACAAGAGTTGTTTATATATCTTTCGAAGTCGTGTATTTGAAGTTTTCTCCTTCTTTTGCAGGCCTTCCAGCTAATGGACCATGACAAGGACGGCATCATCGGCAAGAACGACCTGCGCGCCACCTTCGACTCCCTCGGCAGGCTGGCGTCAGAAAAGGAGCTCGACGAGATGGTGAACGAAGCCCCTGGCCCCATCAACTTCACCCAGCTCCTGACCTTGTTCGCGAACCGCATGTCCGGCGGCTCCGACGAGGATGACGTTGTCATCAACGCCTTCAAGACCTTCGACGATGACGGCAAGATCGACTCCGAGAGGCTCAGGCACGCCCTCATGACCTGGGGCGACAAGTTCAGCGCCGACGAGGTCGACGAAGCCTACGACCAGATGGAGATCGACGACAAGGGTTTCATCGACACCAACAAGCTGATTACGATGCTCACCGCCAGCGCCGAGGACGAGGAGGGCGGTGAAGCCGCGTAATGATTCCACCGCCAGCACACAAGGTCCAAGACGAAGATCGCAGTCGCCGCCCGGCCGCTCGGTTCCAAGACATCGCATTAAAGAGCACGATGTGAACCGAACTTTTTATTATAATTTCTACTATGTAATAATTTATTGTTTCCATTTTTTAATTTATATATAATGAAAATATAGTTCTACTATTACCAACACGTGTAGTACTGTCCCCGCGTACGTCGTAACACCAACACGACCTTTGTAAAGAATACTATGTATTCATAATGTTCTATTTACAAATAAAGTTTCAGTCAAGTCTGATAATATGTGCCAGATAAAGGCTATTTTGTATTAACATGCATTTTATCATTACACTTCACACAATTCATACAAAGTTACCCTTACCTTGACTACCTAGGTAGGTAATCTGGCTTATTTACGTGTAGGTATATAAACGGAATTCAAAACAACTATACACTAGCAGACACTAATCAAAATGTATGTCAAGTTAGTTAGTATTATAGTATTTGTGACATGGTGAACCTTTTTCTCAAATTTCAACTAGATCCATATAAGCGGTTACGAGATTGAATGACAAATGTTTACAATTTACAAACAAGTAGTCATGACTCACCACGTCATTGCGTGTTACCAATTCTTATGACATGCAGATCTTAAATCATAGATAGGTACCTGCCAATAAATTCACTGCCATATCTCACCTTTCAATATTGCAATCGAAGCCTAAGACATCATCAAAAAAGGTGCTTGACGGCAGAAATAATTAATTAGACAGTTCCTTGTCACGGTCCCGTGTACGAAACAGTCTCCCTTTGATAGTGAACCAGGAGAGCCGCTTAGAAGCACAAAAATACAAAAACTATTTACATGGACAACAATGTTCTATTCGTATTTCTATTGTGAAACAGTGATGCGTGAGTTGTATTTCCGTTTGAAGGGTGAAATATAACAGTGGATTACTAGATACGGAGGCATAACTAATTATTTAGAAATAGCACTCATGAGGAGCAAGTAATAGTAACTGTCTATGTACACGATACCCATGGGGCCATCACATCATTATAAAATAGACATCATGATATTAATCATGTTTAGGTATAGACGATAGACACCACATTCCATCATGTGGGAATTAGGGTTACATTCCAAGTCGTCTAAAAATACAATTAAGACTACGTCCCATATAAAGACATCAAGAAAATCAGGCTACACACTCCACTACTCTACAAATCCGACTATACGACTGGAAAAACGTTACTCTCCTTTCTTCAACATTGGAATAAATAACGTAACTAAACGTTATAAACACTAAGATTATAACTATTGCAAAATCTAAACGCAACAGCAGTAGGTTATCACAGATCAACTAAAAATTGGTAAAGCAAAAACACCCATTGTCATTGTCAGTGTCACTTGGCTGTCATTTATAAATAAAAGTTTTGTTTTGTTGTATTTGTGGGTGTTTCAAAGGGTTTATTAGTTCAAAGGGTTTTAGATTTATTATTTATGTAAATGTTAATGTAAAAATGACTGCAGACACTGTAGATAATTCAACTAAAACCTTTAAATATTCATTCCCCACATGTACCAATGAGGATGTGTTCTTTAAACTGGAGGTCCCCGTCCAAATACCTCACGAGGGTTCCATACGCGAGCTGGTGCAGCGAGTCATCAATATGTTCCACATACCGGTCTACTTAGAAGACGGTAAATAATCCGTAATCATTGTGCATTGTTAAATTATCAGACAGAGCATGTGTTTGAGCCCAAAACTAGATACAAAAAACCAAAATTATATTAGGAATATGTGGGGGAGGGATTGTTAGTAATGGAGTCTAACAGTTCCATTGTTAACAATAAATCCTATCAAATCATATAAATTTTTTTTTTTAATGGGTGAAAATGGATTGGTAATCCCGCCCGTGCTATTGGTATACACCGACGAGTCACCAGTGGAAGATGATAGGTGAGAATGAATGCGGGTCAGTTGGTCCACCATGATGAATTCGACAAGAATTAAACATGATGATTTCCAGGGGGAACCGCATAGAGGTCAACTGAGAGGGTATATTGCCAGTAATGGGGCTATTAGACCCCATTACTAACAATCCCTTTCCCCCCAGTTAATCCTTGTTGAATTCATCATACTTGCTTTCTTCCTCACTCATTACCTTTCATTACCCCGCCAACTCATACCGATAGCTCAGGGCACAGATAATAGTATACTATACTAGTAAATGAAGTAACAATTCCATTTTCATCCATAAAAAAATATATATTTACAAGCTCAATCTGAAATTGCTAAACTTAGTGCTTTTTAATTGTTAAAACTGGAATGGCAGCCTGCACTGTTAATTTACACTGATAGAATACCAATGAGGGATAATAGAATGAAAGCAGATCACTTAACTCACCCTATTTTATCAGGAACAAACCATGATGGTTGGTCCAGTGATGTAATTTTCTAAAAGCTATACTTACTACTTTAAAAAATTGTTTCATAACAATCAACCATGTTAGCAAGACACCTTATGTGGATCAGCTGGCCAATACGCAGGCTCACCTGATGAGAGAGGTAGAAGATGTATATTTCCATCAATGTTTAGAAAAAATTTGAGGTGGCATCCTCGAATAACAATTAAGACCTCATTTGCGAGAGATTACCAACATTCATATTTAAAAATGTTCATAGTCTCCACTGACGGAAAAAGATAAAGTTATTGCCAAGTGTTTTAAGTAAACAAAATAAAACATATAGATATTTTTAGTAATTCGAATACAACACATACCTAATATTGGAAAGTGTGCACACACACACACACACACACACACACACACACACACACACACACACACACACACACAGGCGCGCGCGCGCGGCCCCGCTAATCTTATATTTAGATGGACAGTATTAGCTACCAAGTCAAGTCAAAGTCAGTAGTGAAGCCAACAGAACCCGACTGGTCTTCCACTCTTACAGTGGCTGCTTGAATATAGTCTGTTACATAAAGTTAGTTTTTTATACTTTTTTTGATGAGGTACATTTAAATTAGACTCTATTTTCCGTGCTAAGCTTCTCATTTGGGCTGTTATGCCCATCAGTCATGCCTAGTACAGCCAACCTAGCTCTGCCCAGAAGCACAGAAGCTTCCTGGGATTGTCATGGAGCAACCTCACTGTTTCAAGGATTTTTCTTTATGACTATTGCAGTGCCAAATTTTTTTTTTACCATATGCTCCCGGCATTGAATAGGCCACCCCTTTCTTTCCTATGGATGTTGTAAGAGGCAACTGAGGAAGAATGAGGGATGAATAACAGCATCCTTACTAAAACAACGGTAAAACCTATGATTACCAGTCTGCTTGCCAAGCGTGGCAACTACTGGCAAAACCCCCAAGGGGGGAGGGATTGTTAGTAATGCAGATAACTACTCCCATTGCTAACAATATACCCTAACAGGTTACCTCTCCATGGTCCCCCCCCCCCCCCCGAAACCATCGTGCTGAATTCTAAGTATATTCATCACGATGGGTTAACTGCTTTTTTCATTCTCACGTATCGTCCGTCACTGGTGCCACGCCAGCGTTTACCGTTAGAGCAGGTGAGGTTACCATACCATTATCATCTATTTAAAAAAAACCCCAAGGAGGAGGATTATGTTCAACATATAACAGTTAAAGGCTGATATGATAATCGTAATGATAATTGCAGTGTAAGTACAAGCTTGTCCATCAGGATGAAATATAAAGTAGGTGCAGAAGTTAGGCAGATCAACCTGACTCTTCCTTGTAGCGTGGGATTCCGATATTACTACCACATCTAAGGTGTTATAACCATAACCAATTTTGTAAATAAACTAATAAACAAATGTTATTATAAATGCAAAATTTTAAATTCCGTATATAAAGTTATTCACTTTTTAATGTTTATATATTGTTTCAGATTTAAATGAGAAACTAGCAGAATTTGTAGCTGTAGAAACAAAGAATTTCCACAATGACAGGGATGAAAAGTTGTTGGACCAACTCAAAAATAGTGAGATCAATGTGGAGGGGATCATTAAAAGCTGGGAGAAACTGTTCAAAGAAAATGTGATGGAGTTTGCTGAACAGAAGGGCACTTCTGACGAGGAAGTGTTTGCAGCGGCGTACCACAAGTTGGTGCACTCGCCAGCCTTAGAGACTATATTGCAAGTGGAGAACTCTTATGCCCACACGGTTATGAACATGTTGAAGAACCGAGATGAGGATATTGAGAAGCTCACACAGAGGTAGGTATGTGAATTTGAAATTGAAAAGGATGCAGGCTGCTTTTTATCGCAGTTAGTTGATATATCAATATAATGCAAGAATTTAAGTAATGTAAACCAGGTATATTTTTAAAGAATAAAATAAAGGCTAATAGCTAATGCCATGCATGAATCTCCTATCTATACTATATCTATTAACATATAAATAAATTATTAGGAAGCAGATGTAATGTATTTGCCGTGTGGTCCCAGCATAGAATAGACCACCACTTCTTTTCCCGTGGATGTCGTAAGAGGCGATTATGTGAGAGCGAGGGATAGACAGCAGTGTCCCTCTTAAAACATCTCCAAGGCCTAACTGCGGTAGCTAATCCGCCTGCAAAGCGTGACAACTACTGGTAAGACCCCCCAAGAGAGAGATTTATGTTCAACAGTGGACAGTTGTGGGCCGACATGAAGATGATGAACTTTTTTACATTGTAAAATAATTAAATCACTTTTGTTTTCAATATAATTAATTCCACCTTTCAGACAGACAGAAGAGATGGAGGAAAAGATGCGTCTCCTGAACACGTCGACGACGGAGGAGGACATCAACGAGCTGGCTGGCAGGCAGTTCGAGGAGCAGGCGCTGGTGGCGGGCCGCTGGGGCTCGCAGCTGGACGCGCTGTGCCAGGCGCAGCGGGCCCACCACCGCGCCTGGCTCATGGCCACCCTCGACCAGTACCAAACTACCTCTGAGCTCAACACGCCCAGGTACCCCCCATGGATATTTACTTTATTGAAAGAACAGTAGCATTGCCTTTGAGATGTATGAAGGGTGGAGAGACATGAATGACATTTCATGGCAGACTATTTTTAAAGTTAGCAAGTTTATTTTGATTGCTTCCATGTCCCACAAGCACAGCTCAAGGCATGTAAGATATCTCTTGAAGGATGGATGATATAAAGATTGAGTCTCTCCATCACATACAAGGTTCTCCACCACCTGTTTTTGAATATAAAGTAAATAATATTAACGCGTCATTAAAGTTTATAGTACTTTTATATATTACATATATATATATATATATATATATATATATATATATATATATATATATATATATATATATATATATATATATATATATATATATATATATATATAGCTCCTAGCCTTTAGTCAGGCTTTGACAGCTTTTTATATGCATCACCCAATGGATCACTATTGTGATACTCCTGTCGTGCACTATACCTGTATCTTTCATCAGCTTCTCAATAGTATAACACATTATTTTACCAATATTCTCGTCATACTCAAGACCCACATTTGCACTCGTTCCCGAGTGTGACGCGTGCGACAACTACCACTAAGCCACTAATATTTCGTGCACCCAGTAATTCTCCCCTCGCAACGTTCTCGCCCGAGCGGCTGCTGACACCGGCGGCGGTGCCTCACCAGCGCATGGAGGAGAGCTTCACCATCCACCTGGGTAGCCAGCTCAAGCAGACGCACAACATACGCATCGTCGCCATGGACCTCATGGACCTGTGCAACGTCGACTATGTTGACAAGTTTGTAATTTATTCCATCGTATTGATCGCCCGTGATGGTGATGAAGTACTTTATATGGGATGAAAATAGAATAGCAACAACACCTATGCTATTGCCATAAGTATGTTTTTTTTTTTTAATGGATGATAATGGAATGGTAACCCCGTCTGCACTATCGATATACACTGACGAGACACCAGTGATGGATGATAGGTGAAAATGAAAAGTTAGGTCAGTTAGTGATGAATTCACCTGGAATTCAGCAGGATAGATGACAGGGTAGATTGCTAACAATCGTTGAGCTAGTGTGAGCGTGTGCGTGTGCGTGCGTGCGCAGCCCGAGCGAGGCGTCGCGGCGGCTGCAGACGTCGCTGGCGCTGTACTCGGCGGAGCTGGCGGGCGTGGTGCTGCTGGCGGACGCGCCGCCGCGCCCGCCCGCCGCGCTGCTGCGCGCCACCGCGCGCTCCGCCGACCACCACTTCGCGCCGCTCGACTTGCAGCTGCGCGACATCGCCGACAGGGTCAAGGAGCCGGTAACTACCACTTCTTAGCAAACAGTGCCTGTCTAAAGCTAGCGCCACGTTCGAGAGGTCTTCGGTTGTCAACCTTCTATCGCAAAGTTCCACGAGAAATTACGTAAGGTATAGAGTGTCTCCATAGAGATGCTTCGAGAAAAACGGGTCAACTTTTTAATACAATTTTACGTGATGAATAGTTATGAGCGATTGCTTTATAACTTCTATATTTATTTTGTTTTATAATTTATACATCTTTTTAACGTGTAAACACAATTTTTTTTTTTATCAAATAATATGTCCAGATACATTTTATGCGTAAATATATAGAATACTGATAAAAACAAGAGTCAGCTTATTTGACAATTAACTAACAAAAAGTTGACCCGTTATGAGACTGGAGGCTCTATCTATATAATCTAAAATGGACAGTACGCATAGACGTAGATCGTACGTCGACGTCGTGGCCGATCTGGTAGTATTTTGAGTTGTGAAAAATATATATAAAATCCCTTAGGACAGTACATAGTATGTTACACCACGTCGAAGGCTAAGACCAACATCATTACGTAACAGACGACGCCCGTCGCCACATTCCATTGAGCCTGCTTGAATTATGAGTGTGTATGATGGTGAATACTGCTCGTGCTATTGGCAGGTGGCGGCCCGCAACGCTCAGCGGCAGCGGGAGCAGCCGGGCGGCGGGCGGTCAGGGGGCAGCCAGCGGCTGGCGGCCGGTGATGTGTTCGTGACGCGGCACAGCAACCTCGCCGACGTCCACCTCGTGTTCCACCTCGTCGCCGACGACGACAGCCTGCGATCTGGTCAGCACCACAACTAGAGCCTTTGTACTAAAGTCGTCTACCCGGGTACCTCTGGTTGGATGCCTATACTTGATTCCCCCGTGAAGCTCGTCTTCGTCTCGGTTTAAAGGATAAGACTGAAAGGGTACTGTAACCTAACACCGTTATCCTCAGAAATGATAACGTATCATAGGCATCACCTAGTAGTCCATTTTATGTCATACAAAAGTGTATTCAGACTAAACTTCGATTCAGAAGCCACTTTCTATTAGGTGGATCGTGAATTTGTTGACCATACCCCCAACCATAAAAAAACTAAGTGATAAACGAAACTACAGACACATTTTCGCTACCGCTTCAGAACGAAACGGTAACATCCAACGTCTACTTTTTTTTAATAAATACTTTAATATATCTACCGATAGATTCATTTGCCTCTTGTCTATTATTGCTTGATTGTAAACGATGTCTATCACTAACCCTCCCCCCCCCCCCTCTTTATTCCTAAATAGAGACTATCACAGTTCACTATCTGTGGACTTCTTAATGGAACTTCAAAGTAATATAGTATAATTAAGAAAACAATGTTTAATTATACTATGCAGGCGACATCACGTCTCGTCATCCCGCTATACTGGGGCTACGCAACATCCTGAAGGCGGCCTGCTGCAACGACGTCACCACCATTTCACTGCCGCTCCTGTTACGACACGACCTCTCGGAGGTTTGTACCGTGTACATCGTTATATATATTTTGTCTTTGGTAAAAAATATCATACCAGTCGTTAAATGTCCACTGCTAAACATAAGCCTACACCAAAAAAGAGGGTTTTGTCAATAGTTGCCATGTTTAGCAGGCGGGTTGGCAACTGTAGTTAGCCTTTGGTGATATTTAAAACATACATAGAAACTTATTTGAATGATACTATCCCTGGAGATACTTGACTGATCTTGACACCTACAATTGATAAATTTTCTGTTGTTGAGGTTTTGTTGCACTGTCTACATCATTTTAATATCACAGGTAGTCTTCTAAATTTAAATGAGTATCATGAAGTAATAGATTTCTGTAAATAGCGCAGGTAATGGGCACAAGCTCGAGGCCTGTACCCTGCATCCCACGAAGAGTAGATATTCTCTTCGTGGGATCTTCTTCTATGTATGCAACATGATGTGTTGGTATTCTGTCGTAGAAGATACTCGAGTAAAGATCGGTCTAGTGTGCCGCTAACTTCATATCTATCACCATATCTAGTAGTTATAGTTAACTAGTCACCAGAGGGAGACTTTGTACAAAAGTCGAACGTTTGGCTACCTCTGTCCCATTCGTGTTTCAACCGTGAAGCAGTTGTGTTTGCATGGCTGTGTTTCGGTTTGAAGGGTGGAATATGGCGTGAATTTACTGGGTACAGAGGAATAACACCCGAGTCCTCAGGAATGGCAACGCATGGGGGGTATCATGGGCGAAACAGTATACTCTGTTATGTCCATGGTACTGCTCATGTCTATAGGCGACGGTTACCACTTTCCATCAGGTGGACCGTCAGCTTGTTTGCCATTCTAAGTTGTATAAAAAAAAGTGAGGGCAGTGTTATATGGAGCGAGGGTAGAGTATCGTGTGCGGGTGTGTGTGGGCGGCAGGAGACGACGGCGGCGTGGTGCAGCCGGCGCGCGGAGCTGGTGCTGAAGTGCGTGAAGGGCTTCGTGCTGGAGGCGGCGGGCTGGGGCGGCGCGGCGCTGCGCACGCTGCAGGTGGCCGCGCCGCCCGCCGCCGCGCCCGCGCTCTTCGCCGCGCTCGCCGCGCTGCTGCCCGCCATCTTCCGCATCTCCAACCCGGTCAAGGCCAAGCCGCGCCCCACCTAGCCCACCTAGCCCACCCAGCCCTCGCCCGCGTGCCGACGACGCCAGCTCGGTTCCCTCTTCTTCTTCCTACCCGTACCCCAATTATTATAAGGAGTCAACATATCTTTTATCCATATTACAAAAACATTTGGCTTAGTTTGACGACCGGCCGTCTGCCTGACGTCAACCCTCTTTGCAAATTGAACCAGGTCGGTTGACTCGTGACGAATTTAGAAAGAATCTATCACGACGGTACTTAGAGATGCTGCTGCCGAGCACGAGGCGGTCTCCTCTGAAAACTGTCGTGGTCAATTTATAATAAATCCGTAACGCTTGGGTCACCTGTCATCCCCCACCGATAACCTCGCCTGCATAAATCAGCAGTACAAGCGGGGTTATCACTCCGATTGCATTAAAAGAAGAAGAGAATGAGATGATAGTTTTTTGATATCATACATACATAAATACATTCCTTATAAACTGAATATCTAATAAATACATTTAATGAAATTGATAGGAATATAATTAAGTATACTTTAATAAAAAAAATTATGTAAATATAAATTATAATTAAATTCTATATTCTTTTGACTACACTTTGTTTTATTACCCTCTCCTATCTTCTATCTATACTTATAATAAATCTATAGAAAGGTCAATTCTGTACATGAAATATATTTCCAAAATAACTATCAGGGGGTGATTAGTGATCGATACTAATGCCAAAAATGTAATCAGTAAAATTTCTGTCTGTCTGCCTGTCTGTATGTTCGTTATAGTAACAAAAACTACTCGACGGATTTTAACGAAACTTGATATAATTATTCTTCTATTCCTGGGCAGTAGTAGTTATAGTATACTTTTTATGACGCTACGATCAATAGGAGCAGAGCAGTGAAGGGAAATGTTGGGAAAACGGGAGAAGTTACTCCATTTTTAAGCTTCCGTCGCGTGTGCAGCCTTAATAGCTACTTTTTAAAATCTAAAAATGTCCACCCGTGCGACGCCGGGACGGGTCGCTAGTATGTCATAAAAATCACTATGTATCAGCAATGTATACTGCTTTAATAGACACCACGACACGTAATATACAACAATATCTGATTTACAATGTTAACCTAATCACCTACTGACTCAAAGTAAGTTTTAAGTTCTTTTATTCCGTATAATTCTAAATGTATATTCTAACTTTTGTATTTAACATTCAATGTGAACACAGTCATTAGACAGCAATTTATATTTATAATTTATTTACATGATTTTTTTTTTAATTGGATGAAAATGGAATGGTAACCCCGCCTGCGCTAACGGGATACGCTGGCGGGGCACCAGTGAAGGGTGATAGATGAGAATGAAAACAGACCAGTTAGCCCATCATGATGAATTCATCTGGAATTAATCATAATAGTTTCCAGGGGGAACCGCGAGGAGGTTGACCTGGTTGGGTGTATTACTAGTAATGGGATTCCCAGTCTCCATTCTAACAATCCCTTTCCCCCTCTATTTACATGAGTTTGAGAAATCCTGTAGACAGCTGTACACGACGTCGTTAACGATTCAGCAATATCTCTGTAAAGGAATGTATAAAGTTTATAAATTTTGTAAGTTGTAAATGTTTTTTTCAAAATAAATATATATAAAAAATATCGTTTTGATTTTTTTACTATTTTTCCCCATTAGTAAAAACAGTGAAGGATACATTTATATATTTTTTAGTTTGATTTAAAAATCAGGCTTTTAAGGGTGAAACAAAAACTACAACTGTGCTTCACAAAATTTATTTTAAAATCATACAATAATGTTCTCTATCCATCGGATCTGCTTCATAATCTATATCTATAAAATGTACAACACAAACATTGTTATACAATATTGATCCCGCTTTAGTATTGACCGTAGAAAGACTATACTGAGAATTCTATTTCCTACATCATCGACGTGGGTCATCATCGTCGATGACCTATATATACTTGTACATTAACTGTGCGCATTGATATCAGCACCACTATTGTTACTATATATTATAATATTTTATGAATATTTTGAACTGACAAACCATTACAAGCTAAACAATATAATGCTATACCAAAAACACTACGAAATTTTAAAAAGATATGTCTTATACCTAATAGATTTCTAATGTGACAAAAAAAATTTAAGACATTAATTATAGATACTAAATTTTAAAACACTTTTCTTGTTAATTTTGTATATTTATATTTCTGAATAATAATTGATTAACGGAAATTTAGCGCTGCGTCGTTATCACAGCACTCGACCTGGAGACTTCTGGATGGTGTCGAAACAATTGTTGGATATGGAGTAAGTTCATTAAATTCCCGTTAATCAATTGTAATATATTTCGTTAATATTGTGGGGGTAAATTCTATAGCGTCACAGTCTTTATATCTAAAGCTAATGTTTTCAGTTTGGTACAATTAATTCAATATTCTAAACACGAGATGCAAATGAACATTTTAATAGATTTATTAAGTACATTCTTTGTTGGTGTCTGATATTAATATTGATTTAACATTTTAAAATTTACAGATGAGTGTGACATAATAGCATTGCTGAATAGAACCCCCCCCCCCCACCTCCCGCTCCCCCCTGTCGCATATTATCACGCTACGGTACCGTTATTATATATATATATATATATATATATATATATATATATATATATATATATATATATATATATATATATATATATGATATTTTATTATCACGTTAAAGCACTCTTCTGCACCTTAATAGCACTACAAAGGCATTATACGTATCCACAAATAATACATTACTTTCAGTGTCAAACTTTCAGGGACCTCGAGACGGTCAAGCAAGCACAACCTAAACCGAGTAGCACATAGATTTTACCTAGCCTAGTTGTTTGTTTATTCTTTGCTCGATACTCAAATCAAACCACTATCAGTATTACAAAAAGGTCGAGAGGTTTAAACGAAACCTAAAGATAATATATTGCATAAATCAGACTTGATTACGATAGCCGAACTAAGAGAGAAACTAATAACTACCAGAGTTAGACTGCGGATCCAATAATCTTGTATACAGTGGTCGTTTAACCAGAAATTGATATTTTTTAAAGATTTATTACTTTGAAATAATGATTATAATATATCTGTATATATTATTTAAGTTTCCATCATTATTTTTACTATTTACACAGTTCTGATTTATTTTTGACACTGTAATACATATTTTTTTACATTGCTAAATATCTATATGACATTTGTATCGTGAAACGGAATACACATTCAAATATTTTATAAAATAATTACACAATCTATCAGACAGAAGTTATAATTTAGAAAAAAATCTATGGATAATATTTAAAAGGCGAAAGAATATTTCTTTTTTCATCTTATCGCAGCAGTGATCGTAATCTCAAAAATAAATATTTGGTCTTGAACCACAGTAAAACTAGGTATTTTTGGCGCTATAGACTGTAGATGGCCCACGGTTTAGTGATAAACTTTTTTCTGTAAAAAGCATTGCTTTAGTCCTTGGTTTATTGCAGTGCTAACTCTAGCATTATCTTTGGTCTGCGTTTTGTAATAAGATACTGTTTAATTCCCGCTTATTTTTCCCGCGTGGCGTAAAACTTTGATCAACTTTTTAATATAAATAGAAAATGTATGAATGCTTGTGCGTTTGTATATTAATCTTTTCTCATGTTCTGGGTCCTTATAGAAAAAAAAATTAACACTATTTATTGCTGCTAAGTCTTTGCGCTCGAGTCAACTTGCTCGACCGTCTCTCTACCTCTCTAGGGCTGTATGCAAATTCATACGGCCGTATCAGTTTTATACTCTATTCATTCTAAACTAGCATAGACAAGCTAGAGGACGTACAACACTAACGTTGCGCCCGAAAAATATCATGTTGATTTATACGCTTGTCACTGGCCGCAAGCACAAGATGTCTATAGAGGCTTCACATTTGTTGTTCGTTTGTTTCTTTGAATAAAGAAATATATTTGTGCACAAACTCTGCGGCGGCAAACATTGGGCTCGATTCTGAAGCGCCATTACTCTAAAGCTATCCCCAAATTTTAAATTTTAATTCGACAACGACATCTTTATTCTAAGGACCAAATATGAAGTAAATTTCTAATAGATTTTATTTAGAATCAAATCCATTATTAATTTAGTATATGACGGTCCATAAAACAATAATATCGTAAAACTATTAAAATATTAAGAGACAAATTTACAGAAGTGGCACTTCAGAACTGAGCTCAATGTAACTAGTATATTTTAGGCGAGCCAAAATATCTGTATAGCGTGCCCGCGGTCGTTTCCCGTGGTAACTAACGTGTAAATACAACATCTTTATTATACAACTCTCCCAAAAACTATTCAAAATATAAACACTAAGATAATTATTCAAAGTACTAAAAACTAAGAGAAACGTTTAAAATGAAATTAGTAACTATACTAAACGTGTATAATTTGGCAAACATGTGAATGAAAAAGCACATAATGAAGTCATGATTGCTACACATCATCAACACTGGGGCAAGTCTTATTCATACAATATCATTAACACATGGCGGAGGTAAGTACAAGAGTTACCTCAGTTATTTGCGAATAGACAGAGTAATGTTAAATAAAAAGATTGCCTATAAAACTGGGAACACAAAGAATTCGTATCACAAACAATGTACATTCGATACTTATTATAGTTCTAATGTGTGTACTCCACAAATCAACAGTCAGGAGACATCTGGAACAATATGTTTTGTTACTACACCACTGAAATGGACAGTACAATAAAAATAATCCATATAAATGGGCAAATATCAGAAAAATATTTTTTTAATACAACTTAGAATGGCAAACAAGCCGACGACCCACCTGATGGAAAGTGGTAACCGTCGCCTATAGACATGAGCAGTACTATGGACATAACAGTGTATACTGTTTCACCCATGATACCCCCCATGCGTTGCCATTCCTGAAGACTCAGATGTTATTCCTCTGTACTCTGTAAATTCACCAGAATAAAGATGAAATCTATGTCACACGGTGGTGTAACCATAAGGTCCTGTATATTACTGTTTAAATTATTTTATACTGAGAAACTACGACTCACCTTAAATGTAAAATTTGTACTTGTTTAGCCTTTTCGTCACCACTCAGGGTTACCTCTTCCCGCCACGGCCCGTTCTTCTTGTACCTGAACAAAACCCATTAACTATTTACCAATCAAAATCATTAAGTATCTTGTTCTTTTAAAAAGGGAAAAAGAGGTTCCTTCAGGGCCTGCAACGTCCTTAAGTACCACAGTCTCATTCGTGTTTCAACCGTAAAGTAGTTATGTTTGCATGGCTGTGTTTCGGTTTAAAGGGTGGAATATGGCAGTGAAATTACTGGGTACAGAGGAATAACACCTGAGTCCTCAGGTACAGCAACGCATGGGGGTTATCATGGGCGAAACAGTATACTCTGTTATGTCCATGGTACTGCTCACGTCTATAGGCTACAGTTACCACTTTCCATCAGGTGGGCCGTCAGCTTGTTTGCCATTCTAAATTGTATAAAAAAAATAAAAAACGTCGATGACTTTATGAATTTCCTTCTAAAAACATAAATACGCTCAGTACTTGAATATTCACCTTGAGCGGTCCGCGTGTGCGGACGCGTGGTGGTCGCGGCAGTCGCGGCAGTCGCGGCGGGGACCACCTCCGCCGTCTTGCGGCTCCTCTTAGCCGCCGACTGCTTATTTGGTTCTACAATAATTAACCTTAATTACTTATATAACAAGATCACATTATAATATAGTTATAGATACAACTAGTATACAGAAGGCCTTATTCGTATATATATATATATATATATATATATATATATATATATATATATATATATATATATATATATATATATATATATATATGTCAGTGGTATAAAAAATATACCTATCCATCTATATCTGTTGATGTCACATCATTAAATTATATGAAATTACAAAAGAAAGGGACATTTGTGCTCAAAAGAGGGAAGTTAATCATTAAAGTTGAGGTGCTGTTTCAAAATGCTAATAAGTTACCTTTGACCGACTTATCCGAAGTCTCTGCAACGGATTTCCTTTTGCGTCCGCCTCTTTGTGTAGCAGTTTCCACAACTGGTACAGTCTGTAAAACAAAAGAACCAAAACATCCACATTAATAATTTAGGATATCTACCGAAAACAAGAAAAAAATGTAATCTTCACCTGACATTGAAAATACATGGTAAGAATAGATGAGAAGAAATGACAAAAAATAATGGGTGTAGTTGGACAGAACCATGGCTTATGGTGAACTAAGAGAAAAACTATAAAGGATTATGAAGAACATATCATTGATCATTGGGAGTGATTATCTGGCATTTACCATTTTTATTATCGTTAAGTTACATCAGTATATATAAAAATTTATGCCACTTTTCGTTGTAATTTTACAACTCAAGAACGGGTTCACCTATCCAAACCAAATGTTTAGGCTTTGTTCGGACTATTTAGTAGATGGTTTATGTGAAGTTTGCACAAAATCGGTCGAGCGATTCTTCATTTATCACATTTTTTTGTAACAAATTCAATAAATAGCGGATCATTTTGTTAATGGGGATTTTTGTGTCAAATTCAAACTTTTTTTAAGATGGCGATTATGCTGTCAAATTGAAACTATTTTTCAGTGTTGACAGTACAAGCATGTTGTTATGTCATTCATGCGGTCATTTCATTTTGGACGTGCTTCGATTAAAGCAAATTATCAGCGATATTGATGCTAAAATTGTTTTTTTTTTTATTATTTCACTTTTTACGTAGCGAAGCACGTACCGGGCAACTAGTTAATTATAAAAGTGTTAATTACCTTTCTTCCTCTAACTGGTCTTGCTTCCTCTTCCTGAGTCACAGCCACCTGCTCAGTTTTCCTGGACCTTGCAGAGCGAGATTTATTCTTGCCGTCATCACCCACCCCCTTGCTAACATCTTTATTGCTTATCGCTACAGATTTCTTCTGTCGGCCACTTCTAGTTTCAGTTTCTACAATTTTATTACCTTGTGTTTTACTCCCTGCTATGTCTTCGCTCCTAGTTTTTCTAAGTTTCTTAGGTGGATCTGACTCCACAGTTGCTTTTCTCTTACGAGTTCTAATTCCTTCAGATATTGTATTATTGACAAGGGCTTTAGTCACTCTGCGCCCCTTCTTTAATGGTGATGCTTCTATGGTTTTCGTTTCTGATTTCTTCCCTCGAGTTTTATTTTTATCCGATGATTCCTTTTTCCCTCGTGCTTTAGACTTCTCTGTTACAGTTTCCTGTGTTTGTATGTCTTTACCGCGAGTTTTGACTGCCCGTACTTCTGGGCTAGTTACAGTTTTTTTGCCTCTACCACCTTTGGTACGCGGGCTTTCCAACTTACTCTTTGATTCTTTCTTAGTTGTCGACTTGTTTTGAGCCTTTTTACCACTTTTTATTTGTGGTTCAGAATTATTTAGTTTAGTTTGGCGTCCTCTAGTCGCTCTCGATTGCCGAGCTTCCACTGGCTGCTTAAGCTTTTTCGGAGATTCCACTTTCTTTTGTTTACCTTTCTTCACATTTTTTGTTGTTTCACTGGTTGGAACTGCAGTATTACGCGTTCTCCGCTTTGATTCTGACTGAACTGTTTGTGGGAGAAAATCAGTTCCCTTCCCCCGGGTGTTGGCTCGTGGTTTCAGTAGTGGCGACGGCTTGCTCACCGCCACACTAGCTCTGTGCACCTTAGCCCTAGTTTTCTTTGGTGTTTTCACTACACTCACTACAGTCGTTTCCTTCTGTCGGCGGGTAGATCTTTTCTTTGGACTCTCTTTAGGTAAATCTTGAACACCTTCCTTTACAGGTTTCCCTTTTCGCGTTGTAGATTTAGGACTCAAAACCGGTGGCTTCTTTGTAATAACAAGAGAGATTCTGCGAGTTTTCTGATTCACTTGTGAGTTGTTCGTCTTAGTCCTTCGGAGAGCTCGTGTGTTCCTCACTGCAGGACTCTCTACCTTAGGTTTTGACACTCGAGTCCTAATTGGAGACGATTTAGCAACTTTAACAGTGCTTTTCTCTACTCTTTCGATTGCTTTCGCTCTTGTAGTCCTTCTTCCTTTTGGTAATTTTGTTTCTACTAAAACTGTTCCTTGTATAGACCTAGAAATAAAGTAACCATAAATTATACTAGTTTACTTTGGAAAGTAAGCTCGGGGGGAAAGGGATTATTAGTAATAGGATCTAAAACCCTTGCTTGTTAGCAATATATCCTATCAGGTCGATCACCACGCGGTTCTCACCGGAATTTACCATTTTTATTTTTGTTTTTTGGGTCAACTGATCTGTTTTCATCCTCACTTATCATCTCTCACTGGTATCCCGGTACCGTGTACCAATAGCGCAGACGGGATTGCCATTCCATTTTTATCTATTAAGATAGTCTGCTTTCAAACTATTTTTAGAAACAACTCGATAGTTCGAGATAATTCTTCCTAGACAACCGAATTTTAATTTGTAGTTATTCTTAATCAAATTCAAGAACATTCTCAATACTGAAGCACAATATTCTTGAGCAATTGTAATGAATGACTTTTTATTGATTAAGTATAATAAATAAGTTTACTCTTGTGTTGGACCTATACAAATTTTGTCTAAATTGAAGTTGGTTATTTGTGGAACAAAATCCTAGAAATTTCATAATTTCGGCCATTCACGTGGATAAGGTACAGTTAAAATATTGATGTCGGTGACGACAAATAAATACACAAACATGTGGTGGTACTTACGTAGCATGTGAAGGCACGCTGGCCGTGTAATCGAGCGCGATGGGCGACACGCGGCCCAGCTCGGACGCGTTCATGGTGACGCTGCAGCGGCCCTTCACCGGCGTCGAGTGCAGCACCGCGCGCTTCTTTATCGGCAGCATGTTGGAGCGACTGTCGTTGCTGGCGTGGTCCGCGGCCGCGTCCACCAGGGACCTCTTCTTGATGGGCAGCGTGTGCGCGCCGTATATGTCGGCGGCCGACCGCTTGCGCTGCGACGCCTGCCCACTCGCGCTTCTTACGACCGTGCCGCTGCGCACTCTCCACTGCCGGAGAGGCGTGTTCCCCTCCACAGTGTCAGTCGCCAGCTTCTGCAACTCCCGTGTTAGATTAACCTTACCAGTGTTGGCCTTTGCAGGTGTTTTCTCTTTGCGCAGCTGATTGTGCAGCTCTCGCTCCAGCCACTTCTCGACATTGTTCGTTATCGCATCCATCGACATGTGTAGCGATTTAACGGATTTGCGCGGCTTCGCGTTCGAGGTACTATTCGTAAACGTTTTGGAGTAGACGGCCTTTATCTGCGGTCTTCCTACGAGCCGATCGAACGGGTCGTCTGCATCTTTTTGCGAGTGACTAGACGAGTTGAACAGCTCCTCTACGCCGCTGACGTCGTTCAAGTCGTCCCGCTGCCGCCGCCGCTGCCGGAATATTCCGCGCACTCCTCTAACGTCGGTTAAATCGTTCCTGGGAGAACTTTTCTGTAGAGTTCTCTTGACGCCCGAAACGTTCCTCAAATCATTGGTCGGACTATTTCTTTTGAATAAGTTTTTCACTCCCCGAACATCGGACAAGTCATTTTTCGGCGATTTATTTTTCCTCTGTGTTCGGAACAAAGTTTTAACTCCAGATACGCGCCTTAAATCATTTTTAGGTGATGCGACGAATACCTCCTTGACTCGAACGTCGCTAAGCCGATTTCTAGGTGTTCTGGCGAATACTCTCTTTACGCCTGCCACTTGTGTTAAGTCATTCCTAACCGACCGCCTAGTGCGCGGCGTTCGCAACAAGTTTTTGACGCCACTGACATTACGTAAGTCATTTTCAGGAGTCTGCTTAGCGAACAAACGTTTTATGCCGGTCAAGTTTGGACTACTGCTGGGCGTGCCCAGTGGACTGACAAACACTTCAGGAGAGTAACTCTCAGTCTGTTCCAGTAAAGAGTTATCAGGTGTCCGTCCAGTTATCGCGACCGTGTTGCGCGTTGGCCGCTTAGTTATAACAATACCAACATCATCGTCAAAAAGCTGCATTCTTGAAAATTCCGTCATGCTTTGAGACAACTTCCTTTTAACAGGACTATTGAATAATTGCTTCACGATATCCGACGCATTAAGGTCATCGATTATAGATCGTTTCGACTGAGGTTTTTTAGCTGTAGAGTGTTTGTTTTTGACAGCTTCCTGAACCAGTTTCACAGCACTTTTTGGAGTTACAATTTCTTCAGTATCTGGAGCTGTAGCGCCTCCATCTGTTTTACCAGAAGTTGCCAACGAGTCCTTAATAAAGCGACGTTTTCTGGACCCAAAGCTCAATGATTTAGACAGAGCGACCGCGCGACCTCTCTTCGGCTGCTCTGAGGGAATAACGCCGATGGTTTTTCTTTTAACAATAATTGACGAGCGACCTTTCTTCTGGGACTTCCGAGAACTTTGCGACGTCAAAGAGCTTTGACTCGAATCTAACAAACTTTGTATACTCAGGACAGGTGTTCCTACTTCTTCAGGACTATTTCTGTTCTCCGGAGTACTTATGCCTTCATTGTTTTTAGGACTTTTGCGTGGTGATATTTTCGCTGAACTTTTCCTTTTACCACTTTTGTTAACTGGACTAAATAACTGAGATTTGTTGGCCCTACTCAATCTCTTCGATGACTTAGGCGATACGTCATCCATTTCGGTGCCGTCTTCAGAGGATATAAGCATCAAATCACTGTCATTTATACGTGACCGACTCCTCGATGGCCGAGAGACTCTTGTGCTATTAACTGGGATGTACTTCTGTGCGTTTTCCGGTGTTGTCAGTGATTTCGACCTTCTATTGCTTCTTGTCGACAATACAGAAACGTCATCTTTTATAGACCGATTACGAGATATATTGGAAGTCGACTGAGACCTTGAGGTCGATGCACGTGCACTTTTCCCAAGATACGGCGTACTCGAGCTCAAAAAAACTGGGTCACTGGTAGATCTAGTTTTCCTTACATTACTTTGAGGAGTGCCAAAAGCGCCGCTGTTTGTACTCCGAACAGAATTGTACACTGAAGAAGACCTAACAGATGGACTAGAATCTACGGACACAAGATCTACAATAGAATAAGATTCTAAATTGTTCCGACTGGGCGAACGGGGACTCAGCGTTCTAGTTTGGAATGCGGACGCAACAGTTGTATTGTAGCTTTCATCTGATATGGACTTGGTAGTTCTTTGTGAATATCTGGTACTCGTTTCTACATTCTCAGAAGTTCTTAGAGCTTTCTCGAGTATAACGCTTCCGCGTGACGACTTTCTAGCGCGCGGTGACTCGGGCGTCAACGTACTTTGTTGGAACGAGACCGAAGTTTTGGATTCCTTTATAGGTGTCCCCAAGGTCCTTTCAAGAATCTTACTGCTTCGGGAGTGAATCGATTTTCTTGGAGATGGAGACTGTATAGTGGATGTATCAGAATAACGTAACGTCAAGTTATCCTCTCCATAAGAACTGCCCGCGTCGTTTCTCGAAGTGGTGTCGCTGACCATAAACACATCCTGTGACTCTTCATTATAGTTCTCCAAGTTGCTCAAGTCAAATTTGATAGATTCTGTTTTCCTGGTGCTTTTCTTTGCAGAAGGGTCTTTGAGCGCAGACTTTTTAGGAGTCGGCAGCAATGGCGACTGGAACACCTAATATTGAAAATACAATATAAATGAAAACAATTAAAAATAAATTAAAACCACATTACTGTAAAAATAAGTGTGGCCAAAATTAAGAAATACTTAATGATATAGTAGTGTTGTCATTATCTACTGTCAATTCAATCATTCAACCAATAGATACTCACTAATTGATCAATCTCAGAATTTCTCGTTCGTCTGCTACTTCTGTTTGATGATACAGTACTTTTAGGTGTAATTGTGTTTCTTGACACTCTAGTCTTAGGAGTTCCCGCTGCCTCCTTCGAGCTCCGTTTGCGGCCGCTGTGCGGAGTCTTACGAACCGGGCTTGGCTTCTTCACAAGATATGTGGGCGTCTTAGGAGTTTTCTTAGCGTTTTTAGGACTCGGAATGATTTTGGGTGTATGACCTGTCATCAACATGATGGCTGCTTGTTTTGTGTGATCTGAGAAAAAAAATATTCTGTATTAACAGAATAACTAATTGAAATATTTAAAAATAAAAAATATCTTAATGCGTGCTGTTAGAACTAAAAAGACTGTTAATGCCGTTAAAGCCAGAATTCGTCGATACCCCATTAGGAAGCAAAAATCTTATCGCGAGAAATGAAGATTCGTCTGGACTCTGTTCCGGATTTAGTTAGGACTCTATCGCGTATTATAAAAGAAGACTTAAAGCTCGGTGTTTATCGTCGATATGCAGGTCATGTCCTAAATCAATCTTTACAATTAAAAAGAGTGGATCGATCAAAGCGCCTCCTGTCACGATACGCGGGTGAAAGGAACAGAAATATCCTCTTTACCGATGAAAAAGTTTCAACGATTAAAGAACACTACAAAAAGCAAAATGATTAAGTGTACGCTCACAGTTCTAAAGAAGCTGCTCAAGTGGTCGGAAAGGTACAACGTGGTCATCATCCTGAGTCAGTGATGGTTTGGTGGGGCGTGTCTTATCAAGGAGTCACAAAGCTACATTTTTGTAAAAAAGGAGTGAAAACTTCAGCCAAAGTGTATCAAGATACAGAGTTGGATCGTGTTGTGAAACCTCACCGCAATACACTTTTTAAAACCGTGGACTTTCTAGCAGGACTCTGCACCTGGTCACAAGACACAAACTACCTAAGCCTGGCTTGAAACCAACGTACCAGACTGAAGACTGGCCCTCATCTAGTCCAAACCTCAACCCTTTAGACTTCAAATTATGGTCAGGTTTAGGGGACATCGCCTGCTCTAAAAGACACGTCTCTTAAAAAATCTTTGGGAGCAAGCAGTGTCGAAATTTCTCTTAGAAACAGTACGTAAATCCATAGATTCGTGGCCAGACAAATTAAAGGCCAGTATTAAAGCCAAAGGTGGCCATTTCAAATACATTTTTTTTGCTGAGATTTTAATAAATATGTGTATGAAGTAATAATACATTACTTCATAGAAAAAAAATGCATTTTCATTTGTAACAGAACTTATAGTTGAACTAGGTATATATTTTAGTAGTTAATGCACCGCCTACTTAATTTTCTGCTCGCCACATGGTTAAGTCCGCAATATATACACTTACCTATATAATTGTGCATTGAAGTTTAAATAAATAAATGAATAAATTATGATCTTACGATACAATAGTTCAAAAACAAAATATAACAATTTATACCAGCCGAATAAGAGGCTAATCTGTTCACCGGAATATTCTAAAATAACGAATACGCAACATTAAATCACTTACCAATTTTTAATGGTTCTTCAATCTTCGTGACCTTGACTTTGTGCGCGCTGTGCGGCCTGCCGGGCGCGGTCCTGGCGGCGGCCTGCGCCTGCGCCGGAGTCTGTACTCTGCCACTTTTCCTCGGGCTCGTCTTCCGCGATTCGATCCACAGCGTCGCCTTCGTGGTCCCCTGCAGACTCGCCACGGGACTCTTAGCGCTCGGCCTCGCGCTACACTTACGCTTGGACTTGTCACTGTCTGAATTGATGGAAGCGTCCAGTTCGTTATTAGAGTTTCTCGGTCTCTTACTTGTCTGTGCGTATGAGCGCGATGAACTGTGTTGGTCTAGAATTATATTAATACGAAATGATAAGAGTTTATAGACAAAAACATTTCGTTAGCAGAGAAGAGAAACATTTTGGGACATTTTTTATGCAACTTAGAATACCAAACATGTTGGCAACCACTCGATGCGAAGTGGTAACTACCGCCTATAGATATGAAAAGCACCATAGATATAAACATACACTTGTAACTATTCAAAAGCTCGTCACCTATATACATTTGTCACTTTTACATTGTCAACATTGCTAACAGACACACTACACACATCTGCTATGGGGACAACATTACTTTCTAACAGGTCAATCTGGGTAAACATTTAAATTTGAATAGAAAGTGCTTTGAAATAAAAGGATTCTCCCGTAATAATACGTTAACAATCTCTCACCATTAAGGTCAGTGGTGTCTCTCCTTTGCGGTTGTACAATTGCCACTTGTTTACCGCCAGTGTTAGCTGAAATAGTTTTTAATTACAATTATTTACATTTAATAAACAATCTATTTAATAGGGTCGAGAAGGTGTTATTGTAGTTTTAATGCCCGTTTAAATGACGTATGGTTCAAGAAGCGCAAAGTAGAACTAATTTATTCACGAAGTAAATTCAGGTAGTCTTGGTGTGCTTTAGGGAACTGAAGGAATGTTTTAATGTATAAAGAAATTCTAAAGATAATATATTAATAATAAGTCATGTAAAAATTTGTATACATGATAAATATGTGTAAAATATATATATTTTATTTAAATTTGAACTAGTCACTGTAATTTTGGTATTAAAATTTTCACATATACAATTATAAAGTTGCCGTCAGATGCGATTGTGTTCATTTATATTGAAGGAGCTCATAGATTTGTATAAAACGAAGATGCAAGTGTATGGCGGTGCGAGCAGGCGCGCCTGACCTGGCATGGAGGCGCGGTGGCGCATCTCGAGCGCCAGCTGCAGGCCGGGCGAGCGCGGCGGCGGCGGCGCGGGCCCGCTGGCGCGGCGCGGCGCCGGGCGGCGGCGCGGCCGGCCGGCGCGCGGCACGGCGGCCAGCGGCGGCGCGGCGCCGGCGCCGGCACGCGGCGCGGCGTACTCCCAGCGCAGCTGGCGGCCGCCGAGCGCGATCACGTCGCCGTGGCGCAGCGCCGCCACGCTCACGCCGCGCCCGTTCACGAGCGTCTCGCCGGTGCTCACGTTGCGCACCACCGTCTGCCGAACAGTCCTCTCTCTCAGTATACTCCCGCGCTGTACCCGCGATACGTCCGGCCGCTAGTCGCACTCGAGTCGCCGTGTACGAGCTAGATACTGCGACTGTCCGATTAACTCTACCCAGTTGCAGCGTTAATTATGGCGATTTCCCTTCCCAATTCGCCTCTCGACATAATACCAGCAGAATGAAAAAATACCGATTTCTCAATGATTCTCTCAATATAAAACAAATCACTGAAGCCATCAATCCTTCTGTTCAGTGATGGCTGTCACCTATTGATATCAACAGCAATATAAACATCACAATAATGTCTGTGATACCCTCATGTGAATCCCGAAAATCAATTCCTAAGAACTAAGGTATTTTATGCTTTCGCTCCCCATAATTCCACTACTACCCTTCAACCTAAAATACCACTAAAACACAATGTACCATTTGTTATGATTAAAAATTTACTGAAACTAAAAATATTTTGTTGAGTATTGCCATTATAGTGACCTGGTTAGCATGCACGACAACAGTGGCATGGTGCGGGCAGACAGAGGGCAGCATGACGCGAATATCACAGGCAGGGTCACTGCCCAGCGTCGCCAGCCCCTCCGCCAGCGGGTACCGCTTCACATCACGACCCAGCCGGTCCAGCACTACTAGCTGACCGCCAGACATTGCTGCTGTCCGAGGGAGAAGGAATATATTATTTATGAGACATACAAAAATAATTCTGCAAAAATAAAATAGCTGCTTCAATTGTGCTAACTTAATATGGGGCTAACATAAGTACTTCTGCCTTACCTATGTTTTACTATCAAACAACTGGGTTTGTGCTTTTATGGCTGTATTTCAGTTTGAAGACAGAATATATCAATGAAATTACATAACTTTAAAGAATATCAACACATGAGGCATACATTAGATGTCACAGTATATTCTGTGACATCTACATTCATGTATACACAGACACAGACAGAGATATATTGATTGATACTCAATCAAAATATATAATTCAATAATAGTAAAAAAAAAAATAATATAAATTCAACAATATCCTATATTACTATATACTGCATTTGAAATAATATGTGTAGAACAAATTGTAAGGAATAACAAACTCACTTCTATGTTTATAATATTAGTGAAAATATGCAATCCCCCTAAAACAGCATATATACAAATATAACAGGAAGTTAACAAACTCAACATGTTTGCTTTTTCCTATAATTGTTTCAACTTCATCCAGAAGTTTTCTTCAGGGGGCATATCACATTTTGCATCACAGCATCTTACCTTACATTTGAGTGTAGCAAAAATGGCAAATTTGTAAATTTCCCATTATACATTGCATTAAAAAATAAACTTAACTTCCAAAATAAACTCCCTAAAATTTACCAGAACTCTATTCATTTACCACTGCAAAGAAAAAAATATATTTATAATGAATATAAAGAGTTGATTGATACTGATTCATTACCTGTATTTTATACTTGGTGTTTTTGACAATCTTTGCTTCTTCAGTCTATTTATCAAAATGAATCAATTATAAATAAGAAGACCCTACTCATAATAAAACAACAATATTGAATATATTAACACAATAACCTATTTGTTTATTCTTGGTGTTAAAAGACATGACTGTAATGCTAAGTGATGTGTTGTAATGATTAAAACAGTTTATAACATTAGTTTTTTTATGAATTGATTAACTAATGTATTATTATTTCTGAAAGTTGAAAGAGTAGACCTAACAACATTGTTTACAGAATATGTCAAGTAGGATTAAAAAATGTGTAATGCAAAAAAATGTTTTTAAATATATCCACCAAAATAAAGTAGCCAAACAAATAAAATTAAATTGGCTTGGCTTCCCATCGCAATACGAAAAGACGTCGTTCGTTTCCCGCCACTATTTCCTAATTTTGAGGTTACTTTATACAAAATAATAATACATTTTTCTTGATACTTTAAAGACATTATAAATCATTGGAGAAAACTGTAAAAAATATTGTTGATATGGAAAATAAACGTTATTGTTGTATAAATACTGCGTTTATAACTACAAAAGTAATGACGCTATTTGCGTAAACATATACACACTACTTACCTCTGTCAAGAATAACGTTTCAACACTAAAAATAAACAGATCATACTCAAGTAAAATACAAGAGCTTCTAATAGTGATTATTACACTAATAACTTCTAAAACAAAACAATAAACACAATAAAAATCGCAAGTGTAAAACACCACAAACAACGGAGGAAATAAAAACTAAAAAAGATGGCGTCGGTACCAACCGATTTTTTTTTTTATTTATTAGGCAAACTAGCCAGTAGCCATCTTTAGACATAGTCTCTCTAATCTATGGTAGCCAACAACTCAACCAACCAACCAACTTTTAAATATATATTACATAGAAGAAATTATATATATATATATATATATATATATATATATATATATATATATATATATACGTATAAAAAATGTTTGATATGTTAACAGTTTATTAATGACAAATTTTACATTACTAAATTATATTTTTGACTGTTTATGTAGACAGTATGCAAGCAGGTTGTATTTGAATTTGTTAGGGTTAAACAGCCTTATAACATTTTCTATACAATAGCCTGCTACGAATTGAGAAAAATAGCAACTGAGAGAGTATCTTTCGTCCTCTTTTACTAATTATATTTGCATAAAAAGGATGGAGACAGCCGGTATGATTTACAGTTTTTATTTTATCATTCCTTCTATGTAATTCCTTGTTCTTAGCAGCTACATTTAATATCTTTAGTTACTTTCACAAGAACAGACAACTGTCAAATATCCACAGAACAAAAAACCTCGAGAAATCTGTCATATTTGTTGCAGGTATGCATTGAATAAAATTCGTTTATATAAAATGTATGCAACCAGTCGTTAAATTTGAAAGTTTTACACTATAAAAGAAGTTAATTTTTTATAATACCTACGATACTATAATTTGCACGGAAGCGTATTGTTTTTATATACGAATATCGATTTATTATTTTATCGTAACAATATTGGAGTTAACATTTGTAGATAGTTGCATAGATATTTTTTTATTTTGTCAATATAAGTGTAGTGCCAACTTTTAAATAATTTTGTGTTTATTAATATTATATTTTTTTTAACTTTACTGTTTCGGTTGCGATCGGAGTAAAATAATTACTTTCATACATTTATATTGTTACAAAATCAATGTAAAGGAAAAAAACAGAGTAACACGAAAACAATGAACACTGTATACTTACGTTAGTAATGGATAATCCTCACAACCAAAGTTACTGGTTTGTTCTTAGAGAAGATCAAAGTAATGTTATATTTAGCAGTAACAATTTTACCCTACAGAATCCACCAAGTGAGTAACGTGCAATAATGTTTTAAAAAACTACTTTTTACTGTTTCAAAAATTTAAAATTAATCACTATCCTAAAATTTCAGTAGTAAGTCAAGAAACTAGGTACATCGTTGATACCGGTGATAATCGGCAATATATACAAATCAATGATGCTCCAGTGACTGTGAATGAAGATGCTAACACTGATTTAACGGATCAGAAAGATTTAACAAAACATACGAAAGAAGAGGACAATTTTTGGGACAGAAATAAAATTAGATTACTGTTGACCCTCTGCTTAGACAGCAGGTTCAAAAATGCAGCAAAAGATAAAAGATTATGGAATGAAATAGCAGCTCTTGTGGGAGCAGATGCTGATGAGTGCAATAAGAAATACAGAAACCTTAGGAGGACATACATGAGACTTTTGAAGAAAAAACGATTGGGAAAAGATATCAAATGGGTGCACTACAATATATGTGAGGAAGTGTTCAAGGAATGCAAGACACTACCATTGTCAGTTCTAGACCCTTGGGAAGACAACAAAGTGAGGAAACTTCTTAGTTTGTATATAGAGAACCTTAGTAAGTTCCGTAACCCAGAGTGTTTACAGAAGGATGTTTGGAAGGAGATAGCATCCTCTCTGGGCACCACAGACTACAACTGTTACCATAAGTTCAAAAACTTAAAGAGAACTTACTTTAACTGGCTGGAAAAAAGTAGGGAATCTGGAAAACTAATAAAATGGCCATACCACCATTACATGGAGAGAATTTTCTACAATTATAAACCTAAACTAGGACCATGGGATAGAAACAAAATCAAATTACTAATAGAGACTTATGCTCAAACAGCTCACAAGTTCAGGAATCCAAAGTTTCAAAAAAGGAACTTTGGAAAGATATATCAACAGTGGTCGGGGAGAGTGCTAGTGATTGTGATAGAAAATTTAGAAATTTAAAACAAACTTACATTAGAATCAAGATGAAGTCATACTCTGGTCGATGCATTACCAAATGGAGATACTATAAAGATTTTGAAGCAATTTATAACAATTGTAATAATTATCAAAATAATAGTCAAATGCCAGAGATAGTATACAGATATCAAGAAGAGGACTATGTGGAGCAGTTGCTTACATTTTATATAAATAATTTAGAGAAATTTAGAAATCCATTATTAAGGAAGAAAAATGTATGGAAAACCATTGGACAAAAGCTAGGTTTATCATCAGAGGAGTGCGATAGAAAATTTAGAAATCTAAAACAGACCTATTTTAGACTAAGGGAGAAAAAAATTGAAACTGGTAAATGCAATAGATGGCCATATTACTCTTATTTCGAAAAAATATACGATAAACCAAATACAAGAATGAAAGAATGTAATATTGATAGTGAAGAAGATGGCACAACGTTTTCTGATATACAAAAAATAGTACAGGAAGTGCAAGACATACAGAATAATGATAAGTTTAATAGACTCATTAAAGTTATCCAAGAGTCGAATGATGTACAAAGAGAAAGAAATAAGATATTACAGGCACTACTAGATAGAAAATAAAACTTTCATTGTGCAATTCAATAAAGATTTGTACTTTTATTCATACTTATATTTGTACTTTATTTCCTTTTTAATCCTAAGGCATTCTATAGTGCCTTTTTCAATTCTAATAATATAATACTCACCTGTTTTATTTAAGTATTTGTATTATGCCCTCAACATTACTGACTTTAAATGTCTACAATAGATGCGACTTGAGCAATAACAAAATTGCCTTCATTATGCTGCCAGTCACATCTCTTGCAGAGAAAGTCAGTCAGATCTGACATGAAATAAATTCTTATAAATCCAGTACCATAATTTATACAACTATGTATAAATTTTGGTACTGGATTTATAGGAATACCTCACATATATTTTACTTGTTTTTCAAATATATTTTTGTGGTCAAAATCCAAATTTTTTCAGTGACAATATACTTGTATGATCATTATTTTTGTTAGCGCCGAATTTTTTAAATGTAGGTTAAGGTTGGGGTAACAGCGCTTTCAATTGACGACTGATCGGAAAAGGAGATTCTCCATTTTGCTGTATTTTTAATGTTTCGTCACCTCAGAACTCCGTCAAATCCGGTTTGAAAAATTCAGATTGGTCCCATATGAATATCAAAATCGTATCCTCCTGATTCGATTTACGTTTTTAAAACAATCAGTTTTGCCATGGTTGAAGTCTGTTTTTTTAGAACAAGAATAACTATTTCCTTAAACAAGATTAACTATTACCAGTATGGGCTCAGAGTTATATTGTACCATAGTACAATATAACTATGAGCCCATACTAGGCATTCTTCCGCCGTGAAGGTTAAAGCAAGATTTAATGGTTGATAATAGAATGTTATGACCTACATGTAGTCCGCCCAAGAAATAATCGTGCTGAATTTCAATTGTATTCATCACGGTGGGCTAACTGACCTGGCCTTTTTATTTTCACCTGTCATCTATCATTGGTGCCCCGTTAGCTCAGGCAGGATTACCATTCCATTAAAAAAATTGTCCACTGCTGAATATAAGCCTGCCTCTCGGGCGGTTTTACCAGTAGTTGCCACGCTTTGCAAGGAAATTGGTAACCCCAGTTAGGCTTTGCAGACGTTTTAAGAGGGACGCTGATGCCCATCCTTTAGTCACCTCTTAAGGCACAGGGGAAAGGGTGTTCTATTCTATGTCGGGAGTAGACGACAAACGTACTTAGATGAACACTATTAATTCCTGACGAGCTCACCACGATGAATCAACTTCTATGATCACTCAAGCAGTTATTCCATTCTCACACATTTCAAAGAGAACATACCTAATATTCGTAAATACAGTGAGAATGGAATAATCATATGAAAATATCATCAGTGACGCATTTTCAAACATTTCTCTCAATATCAGTAAAATAGACGCGATCCACTAGTGCCTTTTTACCAATCTTGTATAGTTATAGGAATGAAATATTAATAGAGGTAACTCGGTTCCAGCCTATATTTCTAAGGTGAGATGATCAAATTATAAAAAGATGAAATAAAATATCTAAGAATGTTTAGAAATGTTTAATTTTATTGTTACCATTCTTATGTTTTTATATGTATATGTACAAACAAACTATAATAAGATTATCAGTTTTCATTCTGAAATGAGAAATCGTTCAAATCGTTACCAAGTTCAATAATGTCGACCGGCGCTACTCGATTCAATGTCTTATATATAGTACACTGATTATGCTTAACTATGTCTTAACTTAAAAATACATCTGTGTGAATTTAAGACTATAGTAATATTAAATTTGACATCCATAACACTATACCACAGTAAGGAATGGAAAAAAAATCGTATAGAAAAAAAATCTGTGAAACATCACATTCGATCTGCGGTAACCACATAGGATTGGATCGATCAGTGTGCAGATACCTCGATCGGTAAGTAACTATCACACATACTCACACGTCCACGCACGCTCTCAATCACGCGAGTCGATACAACGCTAACCTAGGCTCAGTTACCACACTATGCAGTTACAACTAAGAGATGCGCCCGGCGGCGCCCGCTCTCCGCCCAGCGCCCGACCGGCGCGAGTGTGGCATCAGTTCATCACAAACCAACTTCCAAGTTACACTAGCCATTCCAATACTTATAAATTTACCCATCGAGCATGTAGTCAGTCTTAAGCGGAATTGGTCTATCCGAGTGGAGGCAGAAGGCGGCGGCGGGCGCGGACAGCGGAGAGCGGGCGAGGCGGCGCTGGCGACCCCGACACTTCACTTCTTGGCGTTCTTCTTGGGAGACGGAGCTTTACCTTTGGCGTTGTTTGACATTTTCGCCTTCTTGCCCTTGGGTTCACCCTCCTCATCATCCTCATCCTGCAAACAGATAAATTCAGAAAAATTGTAATTTATATATATAAATATTCATTAATTTCCCTTCTTTTCCATATTTAATTATGTACCTATTAATAAGGTACAGCTTGAGACGGTACTCCCTTTATAAATATACAAATGTTTCTCCTTTTTATATATAAAAAAGAGTAACACCGCAAGCTGTAGCTATCAGAAGGTAAAGGGGATACAGAATGAGTATACAGAAAACCAACAGCCAATTTTCATTGAATGAGGAAATTAAAATATAATTTTGATGTTTTGAGGTGCCCAGTATCCCAGACAATGACAGGTTTCTTCTATGGTCATAAAACTTGAATTAATAATAACCCCCTAACTACCATCCCGACACTGTCATTCGCTTCTAGAACTAGGTACGATGATCCTTTTCCCTCTGTTGAGCGCTTTGATTATTATATTAGTTGAAGGTTTTCAGTACCTCATTCGTCTTGCGCTTGCCTGCTGATGCTTTCCTTTTATTCTCATCATCCTGCAAATGTAGTATCTATAGTACACTAGTTCATCAGTTTACAGATACAATTCTAATCTATTTTGAGTCATGAATTCAATATGTGTTGGTATCTTATTAAATGAAACAATTAATACACGTTTTTATAATCAGTCAATAATAATAAAGACAACAAATAATGAGGTAATTTTGAATGCTTCAAAATAAAAGTATAGTATTATATATTAGCATAGAGTCCTTATTAACAACAAATATGAAAGTTGTTTTTGTTTTAAATGTTATGAAATTCTTTGGCACATGATTCTCTCTGACTACAACGCCAAGGACTTGGTGTAATGATAGATAAATAAATTGAATTTCCTTATTTATATCATCTTAGCACCTTGAGACCTTAACCATTATAAAATTAGGTATACACTTGCTATTTGAGATGGAGCAGGGTATATAGGCTACTGTTTATTTTCATTCAATGATCCTACCATGCAGACGAAGTCATACAGAATTTTTGAGTTACTTTATTTTCCTTGAATATCAAAATTGATTTAGTGATACTACTCAACATTATAATAACAACACTTTACAACAGCTTGAAACTCACCTTAAACTGAGAGTCATCACCTTCTTCTTCATCTAGCATCTCCTCTTCCATTTCCTCCATTTCTTCAAATTCATCAACAAGTGCGCCCAGAAGATGCTGACCAATCAAGTGGACAGGCCCTGAACCCTGCGCGCAATCAATATTTGTGTCAATAGAGGATGTATTAAAGTAAGGTGTCCTATGTGGTAGATTAAATGTGGAATCAGACAAATGCCTCAAGTGCATCATAAGCAGGCAATGCAGTGTCAAAACGACACCACATACCCATCAAGTTACACATGGTAATGGTTTTATCATCATAATTAAAGAAGTCTTTGAAATTAATTTACTTTGACCATGGCCATTGACTCAGGCCATGTTGGTGTGACATGTGCATATATAAATAATTCCAGATGGGGGCTCTCTATTCATATTACTCTTTGCAAATATTTTAGGCTGTTGCATCACCTATTCTGAATTGATTTTAAAATTTTGCAATAGACAGAATTTACACCCTTTTGGTCCCATATTAATTTAAGGATGATTGAAGCTACCATTTTTCTATGTGGAGCAAAAACAGTATGTTGAAAAGCAAAATCAATATCTAAACATGTGATTCCTAGTTAAATATTTACAATAAAAGAAACGTTTATGAGACATAGTTTATCAGTGTGTTTTTAAATGGAATAAAACAAACTTATTAAGTCAGCATGTGAATGTCCTCATATCTGCTACCGAGCAGCGCTTGTATGACTATTGTATACCCAATGGGATATGGGAAATATTTATAAGGTATGGAAGTGTCACTCCATGGAAAGTTAAATGGCAAATAGTATGAGGGGCTGTATAGTGTATTCTGTTGTATAACAATAGTCATCACTTTATTTATCAGCTGGTCAATGACTCTATTGCCACTGGATGTTGCATAAAAAATAATAGCTTCTGTTTTTGACATGTTTTCTGGAAACAAATAGGAATGCTTGCCTGTATGAGTGTGAACGTGACTGGTGCATCTGGGAATTCGATGTCGAGGCGTGCATGCCTCGTCTCGCCTGCCTTCAACACCGCCACTGGTATCTTGACAGAGTCCTGGAGTGACATTGTCTCCACCTGTAATGAAAGAAGTTGCATCTTGTAGCAAATCATATCCAATCTCACCCTGAGTAGGTATGAGACAATTCAAGTCAATTTGTCTATGAAAATATTTATATAATGGTCTATATGAAGTAACTCCACAAAATACTATTAGCATAAACATTTTTCTTTGCTCCTTAAAGAATTATTTGCTAATGGAGGAACCCTCTCATTCAAGAGACAGCATCTTTCTTAAAACATCCTATCTGCAGTTGCCAACCTACCTGGCAACATGGCAACTACTGGCAAAACTCTCCTTATGGGGAAGGCCTATGTTCAGCAGTGGACAGTTAACGGCTGATATGTTGATATTGTCATGCTTACTTGTTACATCTAGTATAGATGGCTAAATATAAAAGAAAGATACTATTGTTATTTAATATAGACATTCACAAAAATAAGCCATTGTACTTAATACCTAGTCCACTTTTTTTGTGTCGCGATTTTCCTGTTAAATTGATTTACCACTTCATTTTTTTTTTTTAATGAAAATAGAATGACTTTTGTATAAACTGCCAGTACTGCTTTTGCAGAGTAAATAAACAGGTATTAGATACATAGTTATTTAATTAAATGATGACATGCATGCAATGATGACTGTAAAATTTAAAGGTATTATTTAGATAATAATTATAGAGTAATATAGAGTGCTGATTGTACAAGTGTAACTTTTATTTTTCCAGTGTCCACCTATTTAGATTTTGTGTTAGGTTTATTTGGCATAATGATCAGACTATGTTCTATCCTAGTCAATCTATTTAATGTCACTAACATTACTTTTAGTACATAGAATGGTAAAATGAGCACCAAACTTGTGAAAATTGGTATAGATGACCATACACTTCACCATCAGGTTCTCAGAATTCATAAAAAACTTTAGTTAAGAGAATTCCATTCAGTTTTTAAGTCTTATTTTATGTCACTTACATGGTGAATGGAATCTATAAAAATTAACATTATATGTGTGAGAAAATAATTACTACACTGCATTAGAGTCAGCACACCATAAAACAAGCATTACATTCATGTTGTCTAAAGGATTTTTTTAACAATAACTACTGCAAGTAAATCTAGGAGTAACAATTCTGTGATACTATATCTGAAGATTTGCAGGCATGTGTCCATATATTTGTATCTAAATTCAACTCTAATATAAGGTTTGTTGCTCTCGATTGTGTGGTAGTTGACACAAACTTTATTTTGTAATGATTACAGGTTTGATTCCCACACTATACAGACATTTGAATTGATTCTGTTTGTTTATATTGTTCTAGGTGTTTTCTATGTATAAACATTTATATATTTATGGGAAAGTGTTAATGTTACTCTTATCAGTTATTTAATACCCATACTATAAGATCTGCTTAGTTTGGAACTAGATTGTATAATACATATAAGGACATTTATTATTATTAATAGGAAATAATCTTTATGTAGAATTAAAATTGTATAAAATGTTGAATATCAAACTTCTGTTTCTATTTAAAAGCTTAACTAGTGACTAATCATTATTAAATTTGGTATAAACAAAGTAGTTGGGCAGAAAATGACATACTAACTTTTATGAATGATTACCTTTTATCCCAAAATATCAACATATTGAAATCACGAGAATGTTACAGACAAAACTAATGTGTTTATATGCATAGTATATCAAGTATTCACCTGAACAACATTTAATTCATCGGCCTTTGCATCTGGTCCTAGTAACGCCTGGCGGATGAGCAGTTTGTTGCTGCGCGGGTATTCCGCTTTTGCCTCCGGGTCCCATGTCTCAGACTGATGTGACGCGGAAAGAGTAGCACCTGGAAGGTAACAATAAATAATGAAGTCCAATGTGATATAGCCACTCTAAATATAGCCAGTTATTAAAATAATATAGTAATTTTCTTAGATGTAAATGACACAAAAGAGACCGTTAATAGTGTACACTCGTGTGTTAATTTGTCACTCATAACCTCAAAATATTACAGAAAATGATCACAAAAATACCATATCAAAATGTAGTTTCGAGTGTCAAATAACACATTCTCAGAATAGGTTTAAAGACAAGGCGTACGTATACAGCATGGGTGGTAAATTTTAAAAATTACTAGCGACGCTTAGACGCCATACTATAAGTTATCGCGCGTTGCCGCCAATTCTTAGACACATTGGCAAAAATCTCAAGTCAACATAAAATCAATATAAACTACATGTACAATGTAAAATTAAATGCGAAGTTAAAAACGCCATTACGATAGCATAACGTAGAAGATTAATGGAAAATGGCGGCAAGTACGTCGCCAAGATGAAATAACAAATAATTTATGTGATAAATACATAATTTGGAGTATAATATTACTTCTAGATATATTACAACAATTGATTTAAGAAACAGCCAACTGAAATCCATATTTATATTGCAAAGGAAAATGGCGAGCCGGGTGTCAAGCTGACGCTTCTATTGAAATATATTTTTAAATATAAAGTATATGAAGTTTCATATAAATACTACAAAAACCTTAAGCAATTTAATATTAGGATTAATACTAACCATAGAAATATTCGTCCGTCATGATGATTTCACTAATTTATTGAGATTTTGCGACACGTTCACGTGCGATGCCGGCACACACAAATCTGGAGAATAGTATTGCCAAATATAAAATTACAACTTGCCAGTTTTCATAGACTTGAAATCTATTCCAAATTTTTGTTGGACATACCTTAACACCATCGACATGATTGAAAATGATAGATTAGGAACATTAATATTGATATTCTATTTCACTAGGTAAATGTTTTTTTATTTTTTTTTATTTAGTATCAGTGACATTAAAAAGTCTAGAACAAAGACTTAATTTTAATTTATTTGTAAAAAAATCAGTAACAAAACAAAAACCTTGAAAAAAAATGTACTAGTCTGTCATATATTATATGAAGGTTGATTCTACGGAGTCATTCCATAATTTTAGAGTTAATTTTAAAACTTATCTTTAAAATTGTAATATATTAACATAAACATAAACAGCACTATGAATATTTTAGAATACATTATGATGCCCATGGAAGTTCTTATTCCTTTTATTATGCCTTTTCGAAGGACTACGGATTTTATTTTCGTTTGCGTAAAGCGACTATTTTTCCTCCATTTGGTTTCTCGTTCATCTTTATTTTTGGGTAGATGATAAATAGACAGGTAATCTTTATTGTTTCCTTTAAAAGATTACAATTACAAGAAATAATTACAACAATGAATTAAAAAACAATGGACAGCCATATCGCTAAAAGCAGTCTCTTCAAATTAAAACGGCCACACAGCAGTCTATTGTGGAATGCTCTCGCTCGACTGTGAACAGATAGTAGATGGAGACATATTGCAAGGACTTGAATCGCGAAGGAGGGCCTCATCGACGATCCCCTAACTTTGTAAAAACCACGATCACTCTGTTAAGAGTGTACGACTGAAGATAGAGAGTCTCTTTCAAGCAATCTTTGGATGGAGAAGAGTAATTATAAATACTTAGATCGGAGGTACGAAACTGTTCTTTTTTTTAAATATATACAGAGATATAATACGTACAATAATATGAACATATAAATGTACATTTTATCTTAGTGATATATACTTAAATAAATCTATATATACATATAAATCTATAAATACGTGTACATACAAATTATACAGATATGCATACCGCAAAACACATATAACTAAAGAATTCAAATCAAACACACAAGATCCTCTAGAAAAACGAGCAAATATATTTCCCTAAACTTATGGAGAAAACTACTATATTGATAACATTGATTGCTTAAGAAAATTATACACTTAAAATTGTAGTTTCTAAATCTGTTGCATATCTTAGTTAAAAAAAATAGATGAATTGTTTTTATCCAGAAAAAGCATCTCTTCTACCATTGGTTATTTAAAAGAAGTATTGAAGTTGTGATTGGATTAAATTACCACAAGACAATTTATTTACCTATAGTCCAATCACAGTAACGAGACATCCGACTTTTCTGACAGAGAGAAAGATTATAAATTATTGCTAAAGAAAATGACAGGAAAATTGACACAAAATTTGTCAAATCAAAACACCGTATAAATATATTTGCTTCCAATTTTATTGTTTCTTTTGTGTTTTCTCCCGCGTTCCCCAGGTTTGTTACATCCATAAAGCTATTATATTATTCTTTCAACGAGTTGCTATATTTACAATGCAATAAGTGTTAGTAAATCGTATCGCATGAGCTCTTGACCTTATGCCACTGATGCCTTGATGTTTTATGTTGTGTAACGACGCCAAAACTAAATGATGACCGATGCCAAATTTCTTATTATCATATACAACCGTCAACTTTATGATCTATAAAAAAAATCAGCGTTCCCCTAGTATATTTAATGCGGATTCAGACGTTCTGTCGCCTGATTAGTGATCGTGAAAAATCTCTTACGTTGCTCCTGTTTCGATTGTTTAGATTTCCAGTAAGTGATCTTATTTCGGAAACAACCAACTTTTTTTGCGTCATGACAATAATCGTTTTGTTTTAGTTTACAAAAGCGCACGTCCACAACTACGGCCCCCGATAACTCGTGCTCTATGAACAGCGCACAGCACACCTGTGCAAACAGCTTCACGATTCAGAATCTCAAACAATGAGAACCTCATAGTGAATGGTAGCATTGAGTGTAGAGTAGCGAGTGAAGCTTGCCACCTCTATGTTATAATTGATGGTACAATGAGCGAGGAGGCGACCAAGGATGCGAGCAAGAAGGACGCGTCCAACTGCCAGGAGGCCGCCGTACCTGGCGCCGCCGCCGACGGTGGGGCACATGATGCCTCCACTAATGTTTCACAAACACAAATCACACAGGTACTAGTGCATTTCATAAATTTATATTTTTTCTTTATTATTAACTTTAAAAAGAGCCTGGTCTGGCTAGTGTTATACTATAAGTAAGATGTATCAAAAGTCCATTTTACCGCTGTGTTACTATGATAATTTGGTATCATTTAAAAAGATTAACAAGTCAATAAACATATAAATAAATATGGCAGAAAGTGTGTGCATACCTCAATGGTTTGAGATTATAGAAATTATTACCTTTTTATAAAAAAAATTAAAATCATGTATATATAGAGATCACATGTATGTATAGAGATCTGTGGATATATTTCTTTTTTTATTAATTTATAACTTAAATTTTTGTGGTTTTTTTTGTTAATATAAACATATTTTACTTTATGGTGTCAAAGGTTGACTGTAGGAAATTGATTAAATTTTATTGGTTTTTTAAATTTTGTTAACAGTTTTTGTGATATTAAACTATTTTTAATAAACTGAATGCACGGAAATAAATAGAGATATAAGTAAGAGTAATGTTCTGTGCTCCCGGTCCCAACAAGCTGGCAAATTGGGCTATTGCTGAGTAATAACATTGAAATATGACATTGTAGTCAGTAAGTTAATATTGATGCAGTAACAAGGAAGAGTTGGGTTTCATTAAATCAAAAGTTGCTTATCAAGACTTGTGGCTGATGACAGAATGTCAACATTCAAGATGCACTATGAAAGATATTTCATTACTACATATATTTGCATACTATGTAGAGTTAATTACTACTAGTGACATAAATGGTATAGATATCAATGAGAACTCTTTAAATGATCATATATTGTAGCAACTTTGTATGACATGGGATAAAATAACCTATACCATTCTCAATGCCAAATCCCACATGTTTGCCAAATATAATAATAATAATAGTTTATTTGCTCAAATATGGGTTTTATAGGTGGTACACACTAGATAATTATGCCTCCATATTTTACCATACATGCCATGCAAATTTATATTTGATATAAATACTAGTATAATTTTATTATTAATACAATCATAACATCAGAATATCTTAATTAAAATATATTTTAGAAAAAAAAAAAAAATTATTACATCACAATTTGTCTTGTTTCTTCGTCTTATGATATTACAAGACAGTCATTTATTCTTTAATTTTTGAAACCATCTGTCATATATACGTTTAAAATGAAGAAGCATCTTAAATCTTTTTAAATAGATCCAAATGATTAATGTTTTTTTTTATATATATATTATATAATGGGGCAATTTATCATGTACTTTCAAACCCATACAGTAGGTATATGCTATTATTGTACACTGTTATGTTACACTTTGTGACTTAAATAATATTACAATGTCTTTTGCTTTTTAGAGCTTCATAATCAGTAATATTAGATTTAATTAAAATTGCAGCTTCATAGATATAAAGTGGACGGAATGTCAGGATTTTTAATTTCTTAAAATATGGCTTGCATGGCTCTGTTTCATGTATTCCACATACACAGGCAAAAACACATTCTTTTTGCTTTTAAAAGCTTTTTCTTTCCCTGAGGAATTTCCGCAATAGAGAATTGAGTAATGAGCTTACAAAAGTATGGTAAGCACTTACAAGATCAGATCAGTGACTCTTTGTAACAAGTAAAGTGCTTAGAGATACTGATTTACTTTTGTACAAACGTGAACAATCTCTTATTCCAAGTCATCAGAGTCAATATGGACACCTAAAAATTTATAATAAGTTTTCTTAATTTTTTCTCCCATGTAATTAATATTTATATTATTCAAAATTTTGTTTTTAAATGTCATAAAGTTTGATTTATATATATACATCTTTAGGTTATTATTTATTTATCTATTTTAATGAGGCACACATAACAAATTATAACCATGTTAGGTTTATGTATATATAATTATGGTTTTTATACTAGGCTACAATTCAGCAACATGTGTACACAGCATGATCAACATTTAGTCATAACATTTGCATTTCAACAGGTATTAGCTTTTAGCTAGGAGATTGTTTCATTTAATGAATCATTGAATTATGATGATGATGATTACTTAGCCATTAAAGTGTCAAGATACATGTTTGTAACATTAGTAATGATAAAAATCTGAATATTATTCAAGTATAGTGGTGGTGACCATTCCACGTCATATAAAACAATTTAATTAGTTTGCCTTTTAGTAAAGTTTCATAATCTTACTGATAGTTATATATTTATTTAAACTTCAATGCACAATTATATAATATATGTGTACATATGACGGACTTAACACCTAATGACATTCTCTGTCAGTCAACCATGAGGCAAGCAGAAAAGTTTGTAGGTGGTGCACAGCTGAAATATGTATAAATAACTACGTATTACATACATACATCCATATATATATATATATATAACCATAATTTTAATGATAATAAATTAGAACAGCAGATAAAAGAAAATAAGGAAAAAAAATACCTAATATAAATAAAAACAATAATAACAAAATAAATACTATAATAAAATTGTAACCAGACAATGTCTGTACATGGGAGGTATTTTAAAAAAATAAGAGCCCCCTTATAAATTTAATAGAGGCCAGAACAAAATTTTTTAGGAATTTTATATGTCTGTCTATATGTTTGGCTTGACATCATGCAAAAACTGCACCAATTTGGATGCTGTTTTCACAGTTTTGTTCCTGAAGGTCTATCTTAAAATCTAGTGTGTTTTATATACATACATATATATATCTTTATTGCACTTGTCAATTACATTGTTAATGCATTTATAAATGTTGTGAGCAATGGTGGACTTATCTCTGACAGAGATCTCTTCCAGTCAACCCAGTACAGTGAGAAAGCATGTCGTTAGCGGGCAGCTAAAGTACTACAACTATTCTTATATACGAGTATATATATATTCATTCAGAATTAATATTTTATTCAGAATTATTTACCATCTTCAATTCAATTCATATTCAATTAGTATTTCTACTTCTGACCTCCATGCATATAAAATAGCAGACAAAAACCTAGCATTATAATTGTTTGGTAAAGTTTAGTTGTTAGTAATGATGACTAGAATGATAATTATAATGTTGTATTGGATATACCAATATTGGATTTACCAGAGGGAGACTTTGTACAAAAGTCGTTTGCTTGGCCACCTTTGTCCCAATCATGTTTCTACCGTGAAGCAGTTGTGTTTGCATGGCTGTGTTTCGGTTTGAAAGTATAAGTATAAGATATAACAGTGAATTTACAGGGTACAGAGGAATAACAGCTGAGTCCTCAGGAAAGGCAATGCATGGGGACTATCACGGGTGAAACAGTATACTCTGTTATGTCCATGGTGCTGCTCATGTCTATAGGCGACGTTTATCACTTTCCATCAGGTTGGCTGTCAGTTTGTTTGTCATTCTAAGTTGCATAAAAAAAATATATATAATAATTGACGATCAGAAATCATAAAATTAGATCTGAAAAGAGATTATTGTGTATTAATTTTAGTAGATTATTTCATTATGGACTGTATATTATTATTATTTTCAGCTGACAGAGAGCTCGGTGCCCCCGACGGCGCTGGAGACCACTAAATGGATGTGTGAAGTATGCACATACGAGAACTATCCGCTCTCACGAAAGGTATTTGCACTCTTAACGTGCCCATTGTTCATGTTTTTATGATAAATTCTACTAGTCACTTATAAGTCCGTTTTAATCACATGTAGAGTTCAAATCATTGTTTTAATCGCTTTGCCTCTGTAGGTATGTTATATTGTTAATTATTTGTTATCGGTTTCAATGTAAAAAAAAAAATATTTAAATGATAATATCGACATAAAGTCATTATGAATTTATTGTTTGCATTTTCATAATTATTTAAAGAACTATAAACTAATATCTTTGCTAATGTCATTTATAATGATAACTGATGTCAAGACTAGAGGAATTACACTGCCTTAGCCGTGCATTATATAGATAGAGCTTCAAGTGTCCAGTGAGAGATGATGGGTGAAGACGAAAACAGATTAATTAGCCCATTGTGACAAGTTTCACAAGAATTAACTGTGATGGTTTATAGGGGGAATCACATGGTGGTATACCTGATAGGATATATTGCTAGCAATGGAGCTATTAGATCCTATTACTAACAAACCCTTTTCTTCCGACCTATAGAGTTTTTTTTAATGGATGATAATGAAATAGTAGCCCCGCCGGCTATCGGTATACACTGACGGAGCATCAGTGAGGGATGATAGGTTAAAATGAAAAGGCAGTTCTTTGTTTTTTTTTTAATGGATGATAATGGAATGGTAACCCCCCCTCGCTATCGGTTTACGCTGGCGGGGCGCCAGTGAGGGATGATAAGTGAAAATGAAAGAGCAGGTCAGTTAGCCCATCGTGATAAATAGGTACACTTGGAATTCACCACGATATTTTCCAGAGGGGACCACGTGGAGGTCGACCTGTCAGGGTATATTGCTAACAATGGGACTGGTAGTCCGCATTACTAACAATCCCTCCCCCCGCCCCTCTGAAAAGGCAAATCAGTTAGCACATTGTGACGAATACAACGATAAATTAGTCATGGTGGTTACCAAGGGGAGCCGCGTGGAGGTTGATCTGATAGGGTATTTTTTTTAATGGGTGATAATGGAATGGTAATCCCATCCGCGCTATCGGTATACACCGGTGGGGCACCAGTGAAGGATGATAGGTGAGGGTGAAGCACGTCAGTTCGTTCATTGTGACGAATTCAACAAGAATTGTTCACGATGGTTCCCAGGGGGAACTACGTGGAGGTCGACCTAATAGGGCATATTGCTAGCAATGGGGCTGTCAAACTTCATTGCTAACAATTTCTTTCCCCCCGATCTGATAGGGTATATTTATAGCAATGGGGAATCATTACTAACAATCCCTTTCTTCCTCGACCGGGAGGGTTGTTGCTGGATGTAAGTGGTGCGGGATGGCATTTCATTTGGTGAAAAAAGAAGGCTGTGTATGTTCAACAGTGCAGTGCTATGGCTAAGCACAGTTAGTTATCATGTCGGTATCCTAGTGATAATAATTCACATGTGTATGTTGAGTGCAGTGTACGATGTGCCGCACCTCTAAACCACTGCTGGGTGAAGATATATTCAAGTTACAAGACGGCGCTAGTGCCTTGCCGACACAAGACGTCTGTGGTGAGTTTTATGTGGTCACCTACTGTACCATGTTTGTGACGACAGTTTATATTTACCACGATTCTTTATTTAATTATTAATTTATTTATTTAACGTGTGCAATATTTTTTTATGAATCGGTTTAAATATTTATAACTGTTTTTAATACAATAGCTATTTAATAGTATTCATAATAAAGTACGGCAACGTCGCAAATGTCTGTCAATTTTCAAACAGTGGAAAATCTTCAATGTTAATCCTATTATAATTATAATATCGAAACTTTGTAATAATAGGTGGATGGATTTTTGTTACTCTTTCACACAAAAACTACGGAACAGATTTGAATGAAATACATTATATCCTAGCTTAGCACATAGCATACTTCATGTACTTACTGATTCACGTGAACAAAGTTATTATGTTATTTATGGAATATGTTGCGTATAAATTTATCATTTATAACTTTTGCAACTACTTCATATTTCGCTTCAAAATTTTTTAAATACATTTCTGCCATTAAAATCAAAATTTTTTACCGTAAAAAAAAATAGATTTTATCATTATCTAAATTTTTTATTATATATATTAAATTAAGATATATTAAATTTATCATATATTATAACAGCTTGTAGTTCGCTAGCGGAGAACTTTGTAAATAATCACTCGGAAACATTGAAAAATGTTCAATTGTTTTTGAAAATTGACAGATAAATGCGACGTTGCCACACTTCGGTACGGTAAAGTTATGAACGCTGCTAACATAATATTTATAGCTTAAAATAGTTCGTGTACTCCGTATAGTGATATTGTTGACAATAATATTGAATATTATGTGTTGTATTTTTTTATATATATACCACTGAGGTGGCAATCAAGCATACGGCCCACCTGATGGTAAGTGGTTACCGTGGCCTATGAACACCTATAATACCAGGGTTATTACTCACCCGTTGCCGACCCTGAAGAAACCTCTTAACCCCTCTTTCGAAGAACCCCATGCTGTAGTCTCTTAGGAAAATTGACAGGGAGCTCATTCCATTACCTGAGTGTTCGTGGAAGAAAACATCTCTGAAGTCGCGTTGTACGCGACCATCTAGGCTGTAGGGTATGAGGGTGAACTCCCTGTCGATGGCGAGCTGTACGATGGTAGAAAGTGGTAGTCAATATGATGGCTATATTGAACAATTCCTCTGAGTACAAACCGTTGTAAAAAGTACAAAGCTGTATTAAATTAACGAATGAGTAACGTAACAGACGTGTTGGCGACAGGTGCAGATACGGTGGCGGAGCGACTGAAACCGCTGAGGATATCGTCGCCGCAGGGGCAGGCGAGTGGTGGCGCCGCCTCCGTCAACAAGTGGCCTTGTCCGGTGAGTCCGCAGCCATCGCCCGCCTCACCACTGCAACTATATCTATGTATACTTGGGACATAGTGTTCAACCATGTATTAAATCATCATTTCATCATGTCAGTCCTTAACGGTCCACTGCTGAACTTAAGTCAAGGGGGCTTGGGGGGGTTTTGCCAGGAGTTACCACGCTTGGAGGCGGTTTTTTTTTTTTAATACATGATAATGAAATGGTAACCCCTGGCTGGGCACCAATGAGGAATAATAAATGAGAATGAAAAGGCAGGTCAGTTAGCCCACCGTCATGAATACATCTGAAATTCAGCACGATGGTTTCCAGGGGGGCCATGTGGAGGTCGACTTGACAGGGTATATTGCTGGGAATAGGACTAATAGTCCGTATTACTAACAATCCCTACCCCCTTAGGCAGGCAGATTGGCAACCACAGTTAGGCTTTGGAGATGTTTTAAAAGGGACGCTGCTGCCCATCCCTCGCCTTCTCTTAGTCGCCTCTTACGACACCCACGGGAAAGTAAGAGGAGGTCCATTCTAAACTTGGACCATTATTGAGTATTGAATATATCAATTGAACTTTGGTCGGTATTCGACAATCTACACCATGTATTGAACATATATCCATGTTTGAACATCAATGTCTAACAATGCGTGTTGTCAGCGATACTCAGTCGCAGGAGGAATCTTCAATATGCTCAGCGAGCTATGGAAAAGGTTGTGCTCGGAATTTTGTTGCATGGTGGCAATTGAAAGCAAAATGATGATGATTAATTTTTAGTTCTCCATTAGTTTTACTGGGATTTTCCAGTAGAACTAATGAAGAACTGTTTAAATGTTTACTGCCGAAACTATGCTTTTGAGCTGAAAAGGGTTTCGATTCACCTGCAAAACATTGGAACTCATCGCTCCATTTACTTCCTCGACTTCGGTGCCTTTGCGAATGTCTTCATTTGGGATTGCTCACTAAACTGCTAATAATGCTTTACTGAACATTAACTTGCAGACGTGTACGTACGAGAACTGGCCGAAGTCGCTCAAGTGCGCGATGTGCGGCACGAGCAACCCCGCGCCGCCCGCGCGCCCGCCGCCCCCGCGCCCCCCGCGCCCCCCGCACCCGCCTCGCCCCCCACGCCGCCCTCGCCCACGCCCTCGCGGACTAACTTCGGTATATACGCACGTTGTTTTCCCGCTCTCGGTATGTGATTTGGCTCCACTTTCCAGCTTGTTCACTGCCTTATTTTGTTTCAGGTATAAACGATAACTGCAACAGTCAGAACACGGTGCACGAAGTGGACTCAAACACGAGGCACTCGAAGCGAAGAACGAACAACGCCGACTGGATATGGTTGCAGGCCTGTTTGGGTAAATACTAGATTATTATAGCGTATTAGCTGTTAGCGTATGTCAATACAGTGGTACCTCGACATATGAGTTAAATTCGTTCCGTAACCTTGCTCGTATGTCAAATTGCTCACATCTCAAAGCAATTTTCCCCATTGAAATTAATTGAAATGCTATTAATTCGTACTCCATAAAGCCACATCAGTTGTTTTTGTTAAGTGTTATTCTGAGGTCGGAGAAACTGTTAGACACCAACTTCCACCCCGCACGTTGGGATCGTGTGCAGCGCTGGAGTGTGCGATTCTTCGTATCTCCAATCTTGCTCTCATCTCAAAGCAATATATCGTTTGCTCGGCGGCTCGTATCTCAAAACACTCGTATATTAGGGCACTCGTATATCGAGGTACCACTCTATATGGTTAATTTAATGTTTATATTATATGGTGTGATACTACTTATGTATACTAATTATGTGGTGTGAATATAATGGCATGTCTCTGAATTTTAGGAAATGTCTTCATATAAAATTCACTAGAAAACACAATAAAATTGCCTTTGATTATCACATCTATGGTGAAACTTTAAGTGAAGTGAGCACTATAAGAGATCTGGGTATACTTCTAGACAGTAAATTAACATATTTACCTCAAATAGAGTTTGTAATAGCAAAGGCATCAAGAGCTTTAGGTTTTGTAATTCGCAATGCCAAGGAATTTGTAAATCCAAAAACTAAAATAAAATTATATTATTCATTAGTTCGAAGCGTCTTGGAATATGGTTCGATAGTTTGGCGACCACATTATTCAACCCATATTTTAAGATTAGAGCGTATACAAAAAAGGTTTCTCTGGCATTTGGCTTTTTCAGCTCGACAATCTAAGACCTTGGTGGCCTACGGGGACAGACTTATCTATTTCAATATGGTATCACTTGATAAGCGTAGAACATTAATAGATTTAATGTTCTTATATAAGTTGTTTAGGAACAGAATTGACTGTTCTCAGCTTCTTGCCAAATTTAATTTTCGATTGCCCGTACACTATCCCCGTAGTTACATCAGTCTAATGTCCGTGCCGTTCCGTAGAACTGTTCTTGGTGCCAACTCCACTGTACCACGTCTTTGCAAGCTGTTGAATGATTGCAAGCAACACTTGGATATTCACTTCGATACAGAAACTATAGGAAAGCATTACAGTTAATTTAAATAGCTAAAAAACTTATGTGAAGCAATCATCTACTGAATCTAAAAAACTATACCAATGTCAAATACTTCAAGAGATTGTTATACTATATTATTGTTTTTGTTAATTAGCATGCTGTGTTTCCTTTAAAATGATTGTACACTAAGTATAAATAGACGGTAATTTAAATATTAAATCTTATCAGTGTAACAATTACTAGGAGACCAAATAAAGATAAAATAAAATAAAATAAAATATATTAGGTTAGATTATTACTTACCCGTGTATTTAATGTGTGTGTAAATTTCATTCAAATTGAAAAGGATTAAAAAGCTTCTTCAAAAACTGGTTAATCTTATAATCTATACAGTGAGTTTAGATGTATGTCCATATTCTCCCTATTGTCAATTATGGTGATAGGTAAAAATACTCATGTAAAAAGTTATCAAGTTAATGTTTTAGTGTGGTAGAGCCACGCTGTAATACTATATGGTATTGCAGTATTAATGGTTCGTATACAACTGACTAATCAGGAAAATCTGTTCATGACTTTGTTTTGGCTTATGGTCTGATTGGTCTTGTTTCCTCGCCTACGCGAATACCTAATGTGTTGGATTATTCACCTTCACTGCTGGACCTTCTGTTGACCACCTACTCAGACAACTGTGTGATTTCCGTCGAAGCCCCGCTTGGATCGTCGGGCCATTGTTTAGTGTGAAGCGAGAAGCCTCTCATGAGTCCGACTCTACATCGTTCTACGGATAGACGTCGCATTTGGCACTACAGGTTGGCAGATTGGGATGAGATGCGGATTTTTTCGCATCTTACCCATGGAGGCAGATTTGCTTCACACTGGATGATCCCGACGCCATCGCCGATTCCATCGCCTGTGTGTTGGTTCAGAGAATGGAATTATTTATTCCTAACTCTGCAGTGCCCGTCAGTGGGCAAATCCCAGCCCTGGTAGTGAGCCTCTTGTAGAACGGCATCTCGTATGAAACAGGAGTGCTTCCTAGCCTAGGTTTAAGGTGTGGTGTCGCGAGTTCCTAACACCAGTGCCTTTAAAAAGAAGTACAACTTTGCCTCTAGGTCTTTCAAAAGAATTATAGCCACAGCGAAGTCAGAACACATTAGAAGAATTGGCAAGAGACTGGCTAGTTTGCCTTCGGGATCTCGAGCTTTCTGATCTCTTGCCAAAGCTGCACCACACCAACGGCATTGCATGTGTGCTGCTTAGGCCGGCAGCACACATGCAATGCCGTTGGTGTTGTGGGCGATCATGGGCGGCGGTAGTCACTTACCATTAGGAAAGCCGCATGCTCGTTTGCCCCCTGTGTTCTAAAACAAAAGTTGAACAAACAAGCATACTCAGGTAACTTACCTGCATAATACTATATGTCCGTTTTCGCTATATTGTCGCTCCTTTTCATTTTATTGTAAATAAAATATAATAAATATTTAAGTAATAGTATTAAGTGTTGTTGTTTCATCTAATTTAATTAGGTTTCTCATTTCTGTTAAGTAAAAACTACTATTTATACATTTTGTGGCTTATTTCATGTGG